AGCATTCTTCCATTTGATTCTTTGTTGACCATTTCAAAATATTTGGCTTAAGCCCTTTTGTTTTATTTGGCTTCATCTGATCCTCTTCTGCCAATTCCTCTGATTCACTGCATAGATCTTGGCACTGGTTCTCGGCCGTGACTGTGGAATGTGCAATGCAAATTCAGGAAGAGGGACAAAGGTATCATAACGATTATTCTGTGTTCACTTTGTCCTACTACCATGGTAGTTCCCCAGCACAGTAAGAAAACCTGTAGGATATTCTGATTGCAATGGTTACCAGTCACTGTACAATGTTGTTCTTACAACTCTTACATTTAATGAATGAGTTTTGGGTCAGTTATTTTGATACCACACGAGAACTGAAGTTTCCAGAAAATCTCTCTTGTGGAACCAAATTTAATACTAAATTACAGAACTTTATTTCAGAACCTTTTATTACTTCTGCTGTAAATCCATTAATTCCACTGGGTGGATTCCATTATACATTTTCAGTTTGAGTATATTTGGCCATGATGTGAATGTAGAATTGAATTGACCTTTGGGCTTAATGCTCATTATTTGTACTTAGCCAGGGTGAGGACGTTTTCAAGTTTGCCTTCCTTTGATTGTCTTTCAGAGGACAAAAAGTACTAAAAGTAATTTTTGCTAGATAAACAGCAAAAGAATAAGATCAGAAAGACTTTTTTCCCCTCAAAACTCAGCTCAGCTGTAACTAATTGTTCAACTCTGAGTTAGGAAAGACTAGTGTCAGATACAGAAGTAGAAGACTTCTGAGGTGTGAAAAAAAATCCCTCTGTGTAACTGTAGGACTTGCAACTCAAAGCCTTGCTACCTGGAAAGCTGTCTGCTTAGCTGTATCAAAAGAACGATGATTTAAATGCTTCTTTGAAGTACTTAATACACAGCATTTGTGGTTAAAAGTAGAGGGTCAGTAGCTTTAAACAGGAATTTAACTTCACAGTCACAGTGGAAAGTGCAGTTTAATGGTGTGCTGCCGAGTGCGTACAGCTGAGCACTGGGAAGGATGTGAAGGGAGGACTCCCAGAGGACAGATGGATGATAGAACTTCTGAGCTTATAGTTCAGGGATAACAAAAAAAATTAATTTTACTTTTTCTTGGCTTGATGATTTATTGTGAGAGCAGGAATATTTACAAATAGCTTCCTAAATTCTAAAATCCTGAAATCTCATTGTTTTGACTTAAGATGGAACTTGTTTACTAATGTAGTCTGTCACAGGATAATTTGGGTTGGAAGGGTACTGGGGAGATCTCCTGTCCACCCACCTCTCCAAAGCTTGCGTCAGGCCATATTGCTGAGCACTTCTTTCAGCCCAGACCTGAAAAACACCCAGAATGAAAACTGTGCTGTCATTTTGAGCAACTTATTTCAATTTCTGACCATTCTCTAAAGCTTTTCTTTCTATCCAGACTGAGCAGAAGACTGACTATGGTCAGTTAGATCTGAACAGCCAAATTAGGGAAACCAAATTAAAGACTAAAATCGTGTTTCTAATTCTGATCTTCTGGCAGTTCTGCAGTGCTGGATCTGTGACTTGCACTGTGTTTTCATTGCTGCTATGGGAGCTGCAAAGTTCTGTTATATCCAGCTTACAGTGTTGGGTAGCCTGTGTGGCATGAAAAGGATTGAGTGATTCCCCTGCACTGTTTTATTGATGCATTAAGAAGATGAATTATCTTAAAACTTGACATCAAACAGGAAATTATGAATATGCTTTGTAGAGGCCCTTAAGTTCTTTGCGTATTTTGAAGTTAGAAAAAGTAGCAGTGTGTTAGTGTGCTTGATTTTTTTTAAAAGAAAAGAAAGGTTGGGGAGGAGCGGGTGTGGAAACAACCTTGCAGTTTGGTATAATGATATGTGGTAGAACTAGCCTGAATATTTTCAGTGAAGGTGACTGCTGTCTTTTTGGAGCATATTTGAAACTGAGATGTCTGTTCTTTAGATAGGCGAGACCTGCTTTTTAAGCAGGGAGCTGTGTGCCTAGTGTGTCTGCAATTGTGTTATGTTCAGAGCAGACCTTTGTGTTAACTGAGAGCAAAGGGCAAATTCTTATGTGCATGAATTTTTTTTTCTGTATAGGAAGAGGGTTGTTTTTTTAAACTAAGAAACAAAACAACAAAAAAAAACCAAAAACAACAACAACAAAAAACACTGAGGCCTCTTGTGAAAATTCCACTTTGTACCAAAGGATCTTCCAGGTGCTTATCATTGAAGACTGAGACCCTGAGAAAAGAACTGGGAAAGATTAGGAACCCTGCAGAAGTGGTAACAGTGTACAAAGGACTCAATTCTTCTATATCCTGTTTTGTTTGGTCTTAGGAGAAAATAATGTTCTGTAGCGTTTAAAGCAAAGGGAAATCACACTTTTGATGCGTTTATTAAAAACAATCACTTGGTGTTTTTTAGTGATCCTTTCATAGGTTGGATATGGGAACATGGCTGAGCGTATCAAAACAGCAGTCCTTGAAAATGTTTGTTAAGGAAATCTTGGAGCAGCTTGGAATTGGATGTTCCGAAGGCATATGTGCTCTACTGAGCAGCTGTCTCTGGTGGTGAACTAATCTGATGAGGGGAAAAATGTGTTAGAAAGAATCTTTACAATCTAAAATGAAAATCTTTCATCAGCATCAGGAGTGCTTTTTGTAACCCAATATTTTGTAGTACAGAGAAGTGATGGTTTAACAGTTTTTGAATAACAGGCCTTTAAAAGGCTGAAAAGGAGGGAGGAGGGAAAAAAGAAAAAGAGGTAGTGGAACATTGGAAACAACAGAGAAAATTATTTAAAGCTCATTGACATCCATGAAACAGTATGAAGACATCCTGAATATACAATGCGGGGTATGCAGAAGGTGCTGGAAGGAACTTCTGTCAGACTTGCCTTTAAGGCCTCTGCAGAACAGCAATGCAGTAATTCATTACAGAATGCCTCTTTCCTGAATTCTTCAGGCATAGGTTTTAGGAACTGAGGGATTTCATTGAGCAGAAATGCCAAATTCATCTGTTGGAATATAATTGAATGATAATATGTTGAGTGGGAGATGAGAAGCTTTGGACTGCTTTATGTTCACCTGCTACTGTAGGTAGTAGTCAGTGTTTCAGTCCTTATGTGTAACAAGGATGAGAGAAGAAAGTGTTCACCTGCATACATTAACTACCCACTATCACTATGAGTTGCCTTTCACTCTTTAAAAATTTGAAGATGTTCATAAAGCAGAAACATTTGAAAAAATATATACTGTACAAACAGTTCCTGAGAAATGTGGTAGTTTTTGTCTGTAGTGGAGCAGATAGGTGAGCATGTAGGTGAGGACAGTGACACAGAGATTCTTTTCTGTGTCATGCTTATCCGTCACCCAGCCCTTCTGTAAGTGGCTGGCTTGTACATAGCTTGCTCTGAAAGTAATGCCTTCTCCTTATTTCCATAGGAATTGTAACAGATCCAAAGAGTGCAAAAGCACTTTGATAGAGCAAATTCTCAGTGACAAAACACAGTTTTTCGTTATGGTCACCACCATTAGCTATTCATGTGGATGAGCTGATTGAGATACTCTTAATTTCATGGTGTGACAGCTGTGTGTGGCCATCTGGAACCTGGCTTGTCTTTCGTAGCACTGTTGCCACTGCTGAAACACGCCGTCCTCCGCCTTGCTGTGCTCGCATCCGCTGTGAGCTGGATCTGATGTGTATTTGGTGCACAGTATATTTGCTCCCTATAAATTGATTCCATTCTGTTCTGTCATGTATTACGATCCTGTGAATGTTTCCCATTTTTGTAGAAAAGAGAATTGCTATCTAGTAATAACATGGAACTCTCTCATGTACTGTTGTGCAACATGATTTCTCACTAGATCTCTTGGACAGGTTCTGCCCCTACAAATAGCCACAGTTCCATTGACTACAGTGAGGCTGGCCCTTCTTACCTCACTGTCCATATGCACACTGTGCATACACTCCTTGTACAGAAATACAAGAAGATGTGGTATCAGATGTTGTGGCTGAAAGCTTAAAAAACACTTCAAGAATCAGGAGCTGAGAACTGTATGCTCAAAACTCCTGGGTTTTGAGATAAGCTTTGTTCTAAGACTGAGATCCATGCAAGGTGCAGCAGCATTACTGCTTCTGAATTAAAAATATTTGTAATGTCAAGGAGAACAAGTGAAGGTCTTCATGCTGGTCTTTGTGATAGTGCTAACCTGTATTGCCAGAGCATTCAGAACTTCACGTGTGAGCTCTGACATGAAAATTCAGATGTAGAATCACATTGCAATCTCCAGGCCAAGAGCAGAATTTTGCCTGTAAGCTGTAAAAACAAATAAAGCAACCAGAAGAGGGTTTGATTTGTCCTGCAGTGGCGTAGTGATGATATATTGTAACATTCTTAACTGTTTTTTGGAGAATAATTTGTGTCTGTATGCTTGTGCTTTACAGAGCAAATCTAGCAATTACATAAGCTGGGAGGAGGGCTCAAGTGTCTGGATGACGTTCTGTTAGAATCCTTGTGCTTAATCTGTACTTGTTCTGCAAAGCAAGGCTGCTGCTTCAGTTCTTCTATGCAGCAGTTTTAAAATTTGATTGTGTTTATGGTTCTGGTGTCATCGTTCCTCCTAAGGCAGCCTCCTATTGGTGACTTCACTGCTTCTGACAGTTCTTAGGTGGAGACCTTGAGTGGGTGTAACCACAATGAAAAACGTAAATTGGGTGATTCAGAGCAGGGTGAGATAATGTGACAACTGGTGCTATTTTAAACATTCTCTGTTTTGCTGGTAGCAGTCTCAAAATATCAGCCCGTAAAACAAATGTAACTGTGTTCCAGTGTGTGTCATATGTATTCAGAATGCAAATCAAAAAGAAACAGAGACAAACTCATAACTCACTTTAAGGAAAATGTTCCAGTTTCAAAAGAGAATTGAACGAATATGACTAAATAGAGTATCTTTGAGATGTTTCTTACTATACTTCTGCTTTCTCTACCCTTAGCTTTCTTTGGAAAGTACCTTAATGAATATAATGGTTCCTATGTGCCTCCTGGTTGGAAAGAATGGGTTGGATTACTTAAAAATTCCCGATTTTACAACTACACACTCTGTAGAAATGGAGTGAAGGAGAAGCATGGATTTGACTACTCCAGGGTAGGTCTTACGGATTTATTTCGATTTCTTTAACGTTTGAATGTGACTGTGAGATAGCTGCAGTTTCAGTCTAATTAAAGAATTCCCACCATACTTGAAAGCTGCTCTGTGTAACATTAGCTACAATACAGAAGGCTCCATGTCTGGACTCTCTGTTATCTTCTGTTCAGCGAGGGTCATATTACTGAAAACATTGTTAACAGAAATAGAAACAAACAAAACATCCTGAGACTGCTGATGTGTATTATGAGCTGCAGATGTGAAAACGGATTTAAATGCTGCATGACAACTATTTCTCCTCTTTGTACTTTAATTATCTTGTGCTAAATCTGATTGCCATCTATTCCCCTGGTATAGAACTGATTTCAGCAGAGTTACACAAGCATAAATGAGATAAGAATCCAGTTCCCTCCAGCTAGACCCATCTTTTTATGTTAATTTAATTTACTTGTTTCACAGCTATAATATAATGGAGAATTCATAGAATCCTGCTGCTTTTTATGGTAACTCAGACGTTGCTGTCTAAGTGAATGGAAAAATGAACTGTTAAATGTATATCACTGTGTGTTGTTACAGGTGTGTATGTTCCTAATGTCCTTTCCAGGATATTATATATTCCATGGCCAAACTTACTAAAATGCCTGCAAATTATTACTACAGCTCAGTCACCTGTTTGCAGTCAGGAGAGGATCTATGTCAGCCAAAAGTGTGAACTTCCCAAAGGAACTGGCTTTGCTCAAATATAATTATAAATAAAATAATCAGTAAACTGCTGTAGTTCAAGTAGTGTGTAACTTCAAAAGCTAACTTAGCAGTGATACTGATTTTTAAGATGTATTTGCTTAGCAGGGATTCAGTTCACTTTCTTTTATTGAGCATAAATCCTGCCTCTGTTTTTTCATTTCAGTAATATGTTCGCAGTTTTTTCTTTACAAGTTTGAAGTCTATATGATTTCCTCCCTCCCATCACCCATTTGTAATTTTTAATTGAATCTACATTGTACTGAAAGATAAAACTTGACAGGCTTCTAGTATTTCCCTTTCTATTACCAGCTGCTAAGGGTTACAGACAATTGATAGAATTATTTGTCTTTTTTTTCCCTTCTGATCTATCAAGAATCAAAGTTAATCCTTGTAGCCATGCTACCAAAAATGTTGTGGTGGAAATCAACCTTACATGAAACAATCTCAGGCAAGTGATGTCATAGGGCAGTGTTCCCTGTTTGTGTAACAAGAAGTCAATTTTACAGTTTTATTTTACATGCCAAGATCTTCGACTCGATTTTGTATATGTAACAATTTAAAATGTTTAGGTTTTCATTCTGTTCAGTTTTTCTGAGTTTGTTAATTGAAAGAACAGGTCTGAAAATATAAATATTTTTATAATCTTCGTATTTTTGCCTAATACTCAACATATTAGACAGTACATGGCAATGTTAACACTGGGGTTCAAATGAACAAACACAAGCGGAAATACAAAATTGGTTCTCTGATCTTCCTACCATTTGTTTTGCTTGAAACCTACTTTTCCAGCAAATAACATGATAATGAGATTATATTTTGTCACTATCTACTTGACATAATTGATGTTAATTATGTGCCAGTTGAACTGAAAAAAATAACCATTACTGATTTTGTCCTCCAAAGTAACTGCTGAGCCCTTATCCTGTGAAAACCAAATCTTTGCAAATTCTTTCAGATTCTCCAACAGGAATTACTCTACTCCATTTTTTCTTTTTCTTTTTCTTCTAACTTTGAAAGTTCAATTTCTAGTCCTGTTTGCATTCACAGCATTTCCCACAGTACAGTACAGACTGTCTGCAATGCATATAGTTCCAGCAGGTGCCAGAAGATGTGTACACTTACTAGAAAATATATTATCCATATCTTACAAAGGGAGTTTTCTAAATTATCAGTAATTAATTTGATAGAGGTGTATCTCTATCAGATTGTCATTGTACCTGTAATATAAAATGACGTTTTCAGTCCAATCGCTCCAGCATCTTCTAGGTGTAAAGATTTCTGGTTCAGAGGAAGATGAAGGAAAATTAACATATATTTGCATTTGAAGAGCACATTTGTGGTGTGAGGTTGGACTGCACACCTTCAAGAAAATTTCAACATCAAAAGCCAAATAATTTAGCTTGTACTTTTCCTTTAATTTTTCATTTCTGTTTCATTAATACTTGGTCATTTTGTGACCAAGTATATGACACAATGTATTGTGATCTTCACAGTGAGAAGAAAGAGTCCCATTTGAGCTTCTTCATTGTCCTTCATTTCTGTTGTTTTTCATTTTTCTAGACAGTGTAGAAAGAATTATTTGGTGTATGTTTTAATGTCTGCAATTTACCTCCTCCTCTTTCCCTTTCTGAGCTAAGTAGCTTCCTTTGTCCTGTTTTTTATGATGCCTCCCCTTCACATTCCACCCCAACATGAAATTATTTTTGAAATATCTCATTATAACTTTCCTTCTACTTGCAGGATTATCTCACTGATCTGATAACCAATGACAGTATTACCTTCTTCAGAATATCAAAGAAGATGTATCCTCACAGGCCTGTTTTGATGGTTATAAGCCATGCAGCTCCTCATGGCCCTGAAGATTCAGCCCCTCAATATTCACATCTCTTTCCTAATGCTTCACAACACATGTAAGGAAAAATAAAACCCTGATATTTCAGGTTCAGGAGTATAAATTTTGGGTGATTTTTTATTTTTTGTTTTTTTTTATTTTTATTTTTTAATACTCTTGGCATAACTTTGTCACAAACGTATAGGAAGAGGTTTTGGAGATTTTTTTGGGGAGGATCAATCATGTGGAATCCCTTGGACAGTATTTTGTAGCTATTACAAAAATCACATAGTATGCATTAATTATTACTTCTATTTTTATATCAAAAGAGAGGCTGCCTGAGACTGGCAGTTTCTGAATGAGCTGGTATGTCCATAAATGATGCTGTACAGTGTTTTGAAAACAACTGAAGTCATCAAAACCAGTATTGTCTAGTTACCAAGTTAAAGTTTTAATAAGCTCCAATGCAGTATCATGGTGAGATAGTTCTTGTTCATAGCTATGCATGTACAGCTCTGTAATTCTTCAGTATAGGATTTTTTCGTGCTGATAAATCAAATTATTCACCTCAGTTACCTTTTAGCATAACTGCAAAAAATCAGTATTTTTCTAATTCATGTCTTTGTGCCTTCATTGATGTTCATCACTTGTAACTTTATTCCTGTTTTTTTTGTTGTGGTGGTTTTTTTTTTTGTTTGTTTTGTTTTTTTCTTTTGAGGGGAATTCTGTTCTGTTTTGGATTTGTGAAGGAACTGGTAACTGATTGAAATAATCAGTTGGTAGCTAAAGCTGCTCAGGACTAATCCAAAGTCCAGAGAAATCCATTTGAGCCTTTTCACTTCATTTAAAATGGAGTCAAAGAGAAACAACCTTTCCTTATTATCTAGCTGCAGTGGAACTTAGAATTGTATTCCTTAATTCTGTGCTGTGCTAACAAAGACAGTTCTGAGGCATTGGTGGGTCAGTGCAAAGGAATAGAAGGAAGGCCTGCAATTAAAAATATAAGCTACATCTATTTTTCGTTTGTTTATGGTGTAACTTCATTTTTAGATAAACAAGGTTTATCTTTGTGATTATAAAATAGTTACATGAATCTATTTTTAATTGCAGGTGATTCTTCTTGCACTGATGACAATTATACTGGAAATATTTTTGTAGAAAAATATATATATATAATATATATGCATATATAAACACCAAAGCATAGAATTGTATATGTTTTCTGTGCAAAGAAACTGCCAATCTGATTTTAAGCACTTTTCATTTAATTATTTAAAAATAATTGATCTTCATCAGCTTGGTTTTAAGATTAAATTCAAAAATGCAGAATGTGCATCATTCCCTCCCTGTATACATAGATCAGTTCTCTTGTTTCCATTCTTCCTTCTGTTCCCACATCCCAAGGGAATCTCAGTGACAGATAATTCTGCCAATGACAATGTATGCAGTTCTCACTGTTTTGTTGTCTTCTGGACCCAGCAGAGAAAGATCAGAACACTTTGTATGAATTGCCCTAAAGCAGTAACATGAACAAAGTCATTGCCCAGCCCTGAAACCAGAGGGCAATACACCACGTAGCATGGCTTCGTACCTCTGCTTGTGTCAGCACCTCTGAAGTCTGCATGTGGATCCTTAAGCTGTAGCCACAGAGAGATGGTGCATCCAAAATGCAATGCTTATGCTGGGCACATTGCACTGTTTAGCACTGTTAAAATCCCTGCTGCTAAATTTTTATATTGGCTTAGACTGACAATCAGTGTGTTCCTTTGCTTGAGATCCCCAGTACTTATTTCTGTTGCTAATTTATGCTGTTGTTCTCATGCTTCTATTGTTAGATATACTAGCTGGCATGAATATTGTACCCTACACTGCAGTCACTGTCCTTTTTCTGTACAACTCCTGTTTGTGTGCATTTCTGGTCTGATGTGAAATTTAGCCTCGTCAATCAGCATTCAGCAAGCAAATCTGTAGGCTGCATGGCCAGTTCTCATTTTTTACTGCTTGTACTGAGGGCTGCAGAGAATGCCACAGTTTGGCAGTTTGACAGCAATCAGAAATGTTATCTCTATAGAGGTTACACTTTACCACCCATCTTTTCCAAGGTCAAATGCAGTCAGGCTTGGATTTATCATCTGAGTACACTTGAAGAGGTTATCTTAACCAACTTCTAGGAATGTTACGTTTGTGTATTTTTCCTACAAGACAGACAAATCTGTTAAGTGTAAGAGAGTTACATTTGTAGTAATCAAAGAAAATCATGGGCTTTGGTTGGATTAAACAGCGGGAGGTTTCCAATCAGCCAGGAAATCACAAAGTAAGCTGAAAAGGAGTGTGCCAAGCATTTTTGATTCATTCTGGGCATCACATAGCAACAGTTTCCATAACTGTCAGCATTTTCAAAGGAGCAATGTCATTATTTCAGCCACAATAACATTCTGAAATTCAAGAGGCTATTAACAATACACAGAGAATAAACACCAGCCCTTTCCTCCCTATATGAAGAAGCTTCCATTTGCCACCTACGCACATTTTTCAGATAGCATCTAACAAAGGCTTTCTGCATAGAACATTTCACTGTCGGATTATTAATTTCATATTTATGTAAAAACTTAAGATTACCTGTCATATGCAAAGATACATTAGAAACACTAACTTCAAGGAGAAGTTTCAGCTTATGTTACTGTTGTTTGTCTTAATAACTTACCCTGCTGCTTTGCTGCATACACAAAAACGACAGTGTAGGTATTTGCCAAGCAGGAGCTGAGTTTGTCAGGAAATTGTGTTTGGGAAGAAGAAAGTAGCTGAGTATCTGCTATTTTTTTCCTGTATTACTGTGTCACCTTCTTAGGTTGCACTTTTGCATAGAGTGAGTTTATTGTTTTGATTGAAAAAGAGAGACTCAGCAAATCATTTAGGAAAAGTAATTTCTAATATTTTAAACTCTACCTGAGATGTGTGTGAACCAGGACATGAAGAAACTGACAGATGTGGTTCTTAGTCTTAAACAGTAAAAAAAGCTTTTAAGGGATATTTATGGTAGATAAAAATAGTATTTATTGTAAATATAAGCTACAAATATAACTTTGAAGCAAGTTGGTGATACAGAGTCAACACCATGATAATGATGTACCAAAGTAAGTCTTTTAGTTAGATTTGGCTTATGTAGAATGATATAATTATGCAGGAAAGAGCAATTTCTGAAACAGCTAACTACGTGAGATAATGGACTATCAGTGCTATTTCTCCTCATCACTTTGGTGGTTACAAGATTATGAGTATTTGGAGGGGCTGTGAGATTCCAGGAGGATATTGATTCCAGCTCTTGGGATTTTTACAGGAAGTTGAATTAATCTGGTTTTAGTTTGAACTCACTGGAATTTGAAAGTTTCTTATGATTGCAAATGACTTAGTGGCTTGAAAGTATTGACAAAATACAGTCCTATTTCCCCTCACTCCTGCTTTTTTTGGCAGGTCTTTAAAATCTGGCTATATATCCACTTCTGCTTGCCATGAGCTCACATGCAGTTTGATACCACCAGGTAGGGTGCCTCTGCTGCTCTGGGTACATGAGTGCTGAAGTCTGAAAATAGCCAGTCATGTTAAATTGAAAAAAGCTGATTTAAAAAAGCATACTGGAAGCTTCTCAACATGTTCTATAGTTATTGTTAAACAGCTTGCACTGCGCTAATGTGGGCAGAATGAAAGCAAAGTGATTAATTACATGAGTAGAAAATAAGCAGTAGTACATGCTTTTTGACCTGATAACATGTCCTAATACATCCCAGTTGTGAAGTTAGACTTCCGAGGGTGGTGTCTTGGCCTTGAAAAGTATCTGTGTTAGTCTGATGACACTGCAGAAACAATGTTTACTCTTTTAATAGGTTTTATTCCCCACGGAGTTTTCTCCTATCTCCTATTAGAATGTAAAGAACGAAACTCCTGAACTCAATATTTTCTTGTGTACCTCAGAGAGAGGTCCTGTAGTATTGATGAAATAGTAGTTATTGTTACACATTATGTGTGGTTTTTTTCTGCACTGCTAAAATAGTCTACTTTTCTCTTTGCTTCTCAGCACTCCTAGCTATAACTATGCTCCAAACCCAGACAAGCACTGGATAATGAGGTATACGGGTCCCATGAAGCCTATACACATGGAGTTCACTAACATGTTACAGAGAAAGCGCCTTCAAACACTCATGTCTGTGGATGATTCTATGGAGATGGTAAGATTAACCATCACTTTTTGGGTCAATATGGGTTTGTTTCTTGAGTTAAGCTTCAAAATGTGATGCATATGAAGGTAAGAGAAAAAGGACTTTTCAGTTTTAAATAGCTGGGTGTTCCAAGTCACCTAATTTGTTGCTGTAGACACATTACTGAAAACAAAATGTTAATCTAAACTTTAAAAATATATGTTCTAATAGTGCAAAGCCATCCTACAGCCTGTTGAAGATGTATATGTGACAGCGGACCTATTTTGGTGCTGTAACACAGGGCTTCTGGGAGAACTCAGAAAATTAAAACAGGTTAAAAAAGGAACAATCCCATGACAAATCACACCTAGGATGTTAAATGCTAGAAGAAAATAAGAATATAGGTAGATTTCTATTTTCTTTTAAATCTGCTTTATATAACAGTGGGAACTTTGAACTGATATATCTGAATTAGCTAATAGCTACTGTGAGAAAGAGTGGTTTTATTTCCAGATGTAAGAAGGCAGATTTAAAGGTGTTGCAATTTTCTGCTTATCTCTTGGCATTCTTTATCAAAATGGTAGAGCATAAAATGAAAGTCCTGGAAGGCGAAGATGAGGTTATCTGGATGCCATTGCATGAACTTGTTAGTAATGACTTATAATTTCTGATTCAGGCAAGTGTGATCTCTACTCCAGATTAATGAACCTGCTTAGATACATCAGATATCAGTATTAGAGATTATCTATTTTACTGTAAAATGGTTTGACTTTGGATTAATTTCATATGCATATTTACTGCAGGAAAAATTGGTTGGGTTGTTTGTAGTTGTAATCCCCAAATTGGTCTGATCTTTTCATCTGAATTGTATCTAACAGTCTTTCAGTATTAAAGAAAGTGAAAACAGCAGCAACAACAGGAAAGTAACAAAAAAGAGTGGGTTTTTTTCAGTGCTGTTTTGTCTTGAAATGTGTAAGACATGACTTAATGCTTCACCATTCTAGGACCTTGGCAAGTGAAAATAGTACATAAAAATTGATCTGTGGTGCTCATGTTGGTGTATTTCATGTGAAGATTCTCATATAAATCTATAGGAACAACCACAAATAGAAAATTAAGAGAAAATGCTGTGTTAGTTCTCTAGTGAAACTGAGTGGTGTTTATCTGGAAGAGATTTTGCAGATATTCTACATAATGAGAACTCATTTGTCTGAAGGCAAGATTGTTAAGTGTTGCTTAAAGAAGTGTGAGATGCAAAATGCTGTCATTTTATTAGAATTGCTTGCTGACAGGAAAAGATAAAGGTGGAGAGAGAATTTCAGAAATGCTCATCACCTTGAAACTCTCATCTCTGTTATCAAAATAACATCAAATACAAAAATGTACTCAATGCTGTTTTGACAGTTCTCATGCAAAATGCTGAACCCAAGCATTTTTGAAGCTATGAGATGTTAACGTGTTTACCTAAAAACAGAAAATGGGCATTTGCCTTGTAATATATAGCTGCAGTATTCAGTCAGTACATTTTTTGTAGTTATAAGCTATTTGGAATAGATCAGTGTGATAAGTCAGTGACATCCAGGTTTGCTGTTATTTGTAGATTACACATAGACTGAAAATTATCTCCCATATCTCTCTATATAGTACATCTCAGTGAAACAAATACTGTGGGTTTTTTGCTTTTTTTTTCAGATTTACAACACACTGGTTGAAACTGGTGAACTGGACAATACATATATAATATACACAGCAGATCATGGTTATCACATTGGTCAGTTTGGGCTGGTGAAGGGAAAATCGATGCCATATGAGTTTGATATCAGAGTTCCTTTCTACGTCCGAGGGCCAAATGTGGAGGCTGGGTCCTTGTAAGTTCTTCGCTATTGTGTGTGCATGTGTATATGTAGCTACCAGAAAAATTCTTTGTGCATATCTCTGGTCATACTGACCTGGCATACAAGTGGAGGCACAAAATTCTGCATGTTCTGACTGACTTGCTGCTCATCTGTGGCAGCAGAATAAGTCTGCCTTAGCTAGCAGAATTGAGAGCACGTGCTGGTATAACAAGATCAAGCAGTTTTTACAGTTACCTTTTTGGTTGCATAGGTGTGCAGCACAAGGCTTTTGTGGCTGTAGTTGAAAAAGCCACTTGGAATTGGGTCTGTTGTAGAAAACATTTGTGAGTCTTCTTTTGAGGAATGCAAGTATTACACACATCTGTAATATTTTCAAGGTGAAACATGTATGGTATAACGTTCACTGCTACAGTAAATTATTGTTGCCAGACATTAATTAAATCTCCTACTGAAGTCATTTGTTTCAACTTATGAAGAAGAATGTATGTAATAGTTTATCCACAATTATCATCCACAGACTCCCTCTGGTTCATCCTTTGAGATTACATGGTTAGTGTTGTTTGTCAGATTCACACAAGCATGCCGAATATGACTGTTAATTAAATTGGTAGCTTTGATCAGCTAAGAAATTATGTAAATACACTTTCTAAGCAATTATTTCAATAGCAAATATTTGCACTTAAGTAATGATTTTGGACAGAGTGCCATAATTTGCTGCCTTTTATTTATATAAATGTGCATGTTTTAGCATAATTAACACACACAGTCTTCCACACACCATTTTTTCATCACAGCAGAGGAATGTGTTCCAACACATCATCCAGTAGCAAATAGTTACGAATAAACCTTGTTCCATTTACTAGTTAAATTCATTGATTCAAGTTATGAGGGACAAAAATGTTAGATTCTGTAGATGTTGCAGTGTGTATATGTGCTTACTGACAGTAGTTCTGCATGTGAAATAAGCAGTTCTCGTAGTTAAACTGAATGTTAAGCGTGATTTCATTTTTAGCACCAAGTGTTCAACTGCTGATTTCAGTTGAAGTTGTGAAGTACTGAAAATCTTCGGGGTTTTTATTATTTGTTTGGTATTGTGTTCTTATGTTTTTTCCCTCCCCTCCGTTTACTGAACAACTTTGTGAAGCACAGAAGAATGTGAGTGACTAACGTTACTGGGGAAAGAGGAAGGAGTGCATTTTGTAGAGAAATAGGAGGTTGATCTAATGGAAGGTGACATAAGGGAGAACTCATGAGTTTGAGAGGAGAGTAAGGAGAATTTAGAACAGAGAAGACTAGGAAGAGAAAAAGACACAGGCAGGGGAGCGGGAGTGTTCTGAAGTACAAAGATCTGGGTGGCCACTGAGTGCATCCAACACTTTGTGACTGATTTCTGCCCTAATCCAGAACTCTGCCAAAAATAATGCTATAAAATTCTGTAAATTGGATAAGAAACAGGTAAGGTTGAATCTTGTGAAAGTCTTGGTGTACTGGGATGACTTTCAGTAATGTTAAATGATAAGAAGAGTTGCAGTGTCAAAGCTGCCTCATGGTTCCAAATTGGGTGAAGGGCTGCCTGCACAACACACTGGATTGTAGGGTAGATGGAATAAAACATACTCCTTCAGCCCTGAAGATTTGTCTGCAGCAGCAGAGACTTTCCAGAGAACTGGATTAGCCTTTTGCAAACTTGCTTTATTTCCCATCAACTGCAGGTTTTGGTCTCAATAAAGCAGTAATGCTAGTATGGCCAAAGTGGAGTAAGCTGCAACCTGCAGTGCTTGGGGCCAGCCAGTGCTTGGCTGCACTGGTCCAAAGATCTTCACACCTGGACTCATAAAACCTGTAAAATCTTCCCACTGAATTTTGTTTTTAATGACCTGTAAGGATGAAAATATATTTATTTTAGAATCTGAAGAGTTAGTCTGATAGAGTCTGGCAAAGCAGAGCCCATCACTGTACAACAAATGGGAAGAAAAGGATAAAATACCTTGGAGGGGAAAATATATCAGATAATAAATTGATCTTCCTTTACAGCCTGATTTTCTTTGAATTTTACAGCCTCAATCATTCGTGTTTTCTGTGGACTTTCTTTTCCCTGCAGAGTAATTGCCATGACTCCCTTTTGATACCAACGAAGATTTAATAGCATTCACTGTTGCAAGTCATTACTAAGTTCTCATTTGTATTACCAAATATGCTACACCACAATTATTAGTAATTAAAATCAAATTAGGTACATCAATTTAATTCATCATCTTGTCAGTGCCTGTTTGCTTGCTTGTTCAAAAATGCAGTAATTTTTAAATGGTGTCTCATTAATTAGTGTGAATTTAGCAGCTTTCTTCTGTCTTGTACTTTCAGCTAAAATTTTGCACTGACATACGTGTGTAGCAATCCATCTGGTCCCAGTCCTTCTTTTGTGCCTGTGGTTCATAGCACGGTCATTCTTTATGTTCAGTGCTGTAGAAGATTGTCTCTATAGCAATATGTTCACCTTCTCTTTTTTCCAATTTTCAAAAATTCCCTGCCAGCCTGTGTATTTGTTTTTAAAGAAATAGTATGCAGCTGATAAACCATGTATAATGTTGTGAATAAGACAGCTTCTGCACAGAGGTATTTGAAATAAGCTTTTAAGGTGCAACATAGACCTTGAGCTCTTCAGCAGAACTCAACCTGTAATAAAAGCAGGTTGCATGATAGAACGCTGGTCTGTACAGCTAGATGCTGGGAGCCATGAACACACTCATATTTGGCTGTGGCATTTGAAGGGATTTGGAGATGGGAGCTGTCTGTACTGGTCCAGAGTTGATGCCAATATTGGAACTGAATTTTGAGTGAGTTTAGGTTCAAACAGTGCCCTGTTAACTGTGGTGGCTGAGAAGCATGTGCCACTGCTTTGCTAAAAAACAGGGCATGGAAATATGTTGAAATTTGGGGAGTCTGTGTTTGCAGACAGGATTCACAGGATAGCTGTGAGTCTGGGGAGGCTATACTACAAAACAACATCTTTAACTTAAATGTTCTCTTTTTTATGGTTGGTCCATAATTGCTTTCCCACTTTGTCACACACACCATATTAGCAGCAACTTTCAGTTATTTGCTGTACTATCTGGCAATGTATTTCTCCTCATGTTCTCATCAGAACATGCTTACTGTGATATGAGCTACAGTACTTACTTCCATGCCATTTTTGAAACAGATAAAGCATGTGTTGACTGCCAGATTTATTTTTTAATCAAGTAATCAGCATATTTGGCAGATTCTTTGATGCTGTAAAACAATGGTATCCAAAGCTCTCTCATGTTCTGAACAACTTTTGAACCTCTTTTGCAATAATTAACTGTGCCGTATGAACAACTTTACATTCTCAAAAATGCTCTGTGCTAAAGTTTTAAATCTTAGTATTAATCCCTTTTGAGGTTGCACAACTTATCTCTGTCTTGCATATTAATTCCTTACATGGAATTTCATAGCATTTGCCTCACAAAATAAGCTTTTCTAGATCCATGGTCTGTGTGGAAGAGCTGTAGTTGCTTGGTGTCATTGCACATACTTTAAATCACGTTCCTATACATGTTTTACAGGAATCCTCACATTGTGTTGAATATTGATCTCGCACCTACGATTCTGGATATTGCTGGATTGGATATTCCATCTGATATGGATGGTAAATCTATTCTAAAACTTCTGGATTCTGAGAGACCAGTGAATAGGTAGGAGAAGAAAATGTGCATGTAAAAATGTATGTGCTTGCATGGAAATTAGAAGAACTATTCATCAGCATGCAGTGTATTTGAAAGAAAACTAGTAAAACTACTATCTGTGAGTGCAGTATTCATAGGAAAATCTAAAGATATTTGATGTTACACTTCTGACAGTTTTCATTTTGACAGATTCTGTCAAATTTGCTGTATGGCACATGTGGCATCTGGATGTAGTAAAAGTGTTAGCAGTGAGTGGGCCACCCAATGTCTTCACTTATTTGAATCATAGATTTAAAGTATTTCTGTGGCATCATTTGTAGCAGAGCCTTTCATTTTGAGTAAACTGTAGAGAATTGAGTTGAAAAGGTTGGTTGTGTATCAGACTGCAAGGGCAGGCCAGCATTCAGAATTACATATTTGAGTCCTTCCAGCAGTACTTTCATTGGTAAAAGAGAAGGGAAGAGAGAATCGGATTGGATGGCTGCTAGAGAAAATCAGCAGCAGTATGAAAGAAAAAGGAAAAAAGGAGATTTGCTTTTGTAAGTAGTGGGATGGAGACAGGGGGAAGGGGGAGAAGGAGCCAGCTGCTTTAGAATAGGATACTTTGAGGCTGGTTAAGAGTCCAAACTGGGTTCAGGAAATCCTGACTTAATTTGGAATCCTTTGTGATCAAGGACAATTTGGTTAATCCCCTGTGCCTTAAAAGTGCTTACATTTAAATAGGTGTACTCTGTGAATCTGTTGTGGATTTTGTCCCTGTGAGAACAAATCTGTGCTGTGTTTGTTCATGATTTGCACTGGAGAGGCATATGTGCCTGCTTCATAAAGCTGCATGTCCCCTGAGAGGTTATTGTGTTTCTCCTCTGAACTGGGGGTGGGAGAGGAAACTGGGACATGATTTGATCACTATTCTTTGTGGAAATAAATTGTTTCTTTCTCTCCTCATCTCCTACCAGGTTCCATTTAAAGAAGAAGATGAAAGTGTGGAGAGACTCATTTCTAGTGGAGAGAGGGTAAGGAAAGTGTTAATCACAAAGCTCAATCTTTTTAAATAGAAGGATACTGAGTAGGCAGAGCCAAAGCAGCACTCTACTGCAGACCTAAAGCCATTATCTCTGCCAGCAGGAACACGGCTGCATGCGCTTAATGGTAGTGATTGTGTGCTAGAAGGGGATGTATGGCCTTTGCCTACAGCCTGCATAAATATGCTATGGAGTGGGGGGAGAGGAGGTTTAGTTGGACTGGGAGATGGGAAGACATCTCATTTTCCTAACTGCTACTCCCCCCACCCTCCTCCTTAAATCATGGAAGTAAGAATAATCTTCTGTGTCTCCGTGTTCGTCGGCTGGCCATTCCCTCTGTGCTCTGCCTTTATAAGTAACATTTGACATGAAGGTTTTGCAAAGTGCAGCCATGCAGTAGAGAGGAGGATATGATGGACTGTTGTTATTGCCTTGTCAGTCGGATGTGCAACACAGTGTCCCAGTTCTGTGTGGTTTTGTATGCTCCCTGAGGATGACATAAATAATGAGTGTGTTATGAGAGATGATGATAAGGACTAGTTTCTAGTGAGCTATTAAGTTTTGGCCACTAGCAATGCTTGGGTTCTAGCAGATAGGGTACTTCTCTGGGCCTTTTTTCAGTAAACTGTATGCATATCTTAGAGTTAATGCAAAAATAGTTGTGTTTTTTGTTGGTTTTTTTTTTCCCTCCAGTAAGCTGCTGCATAAGAGGGAAAATGAGAAGGTAGATGCCCAAGAAGAAAACTTTCTACCCAAATACCAGCGTGTGAAAGACCTTTGTCAGAGAGCTGAGTATCAAACAGCTTGTGAACAGCTTGGCCAGGTAGGACAAGTGGCTGAAAGTAAGGACCTGGAGATGGGCGGAGCTTAGTATCTTCAGTGTGACATTGCCATTCACCTTGCTGCCAATGTCAGCTTATAAATCAAATTGTTCACTTTGTGGCCTTTGCTCAAAACCATATTGCAGCACTTACGAGATTGGCAGTCAGGAAATTGCTGATTCAAGTGCCTCTCTATTGATTCCTGACTACTGCTAAGAGAACTGTCTCAGCTGTTTTTAACATTATATTCCCCAAATAGAATGTGGTTGGGATTCATTAGCGATGAGAATCTACGAGGGCTGCTCCACGAATAATACCTCCTACTTTATTATGTTGGCCTATGTCATCAGAGACAGACAGTGCTATGGTAGTAGATGTAGGACCAGTATTCTGTTCCATTTTGTTGCTGCAAGACAGATGGCAGCAGAGGGACAGTCTGACAAAATGACATCTGATGGAGTGAGTGATGGTAAGGTGTGTCATTAAAAATGGCACCCATTGGCATTCATCAATTCTTGCTGAATGTTAGTGGAGACAGAACATGGCTGTGAGCAGAGTGAAGCTGTGGGTGGTGCATTTCAGCAGTGGTCACAGTGACAGCAGTCACCTCTGCTGGTGCAGATTTGTATGAGCACTGCATGCAAGCTTTTGTCCATTGCTAATGATAATGCATAGTTAGTGGTGGGGTGACTGTGTTGAAAAATATAGTAGTGTTTTGTAGCTGAGGATTTGCGCTACCAAATAGTGTTGTTGTGCTCTTTGTATCTGTTGTAGTTTCTATGGAAATAAACAGGAGGAATTACTTTTGGAGTGACCTGTGTACAATGAACCTAACAAATTGGCCTCTTCCAAAGCTCCCTTTGCTTTGAATTTTTAAATTAACTCGTTTTATTAGTTGGAATTACATGTAATAACAGAAAGCTAACATTCTGTGCACTCAATATATTCTCACTGTTAATGAAAATATATATATTGTGAAAGCACGCATGCTAATAGTCTGTGTATATATGGGCACAAAACTGGCTGTTTGTGTAATTTCTTTTGCACAACTTTTGTAGTCATACATTAAAATATATATTTTCACTTTGCATCCTGGTTACATAAAAGAGAATTTAGGAAAAGTAGTATCAATACACAACCTCAGCCTGGGAAGTTTTGCAGCCTCACCAGAGAGCTGCAAAGGTACAGCAGAGCTGTCTCCAGCAACTCCACTTCTGTGAAAATTCCTGCACTCTTAGGTTAATTCTCATAATCTGGAAAACAGTGACATTTTCTCAGTGCCATTGCTTTGTCATCCAGGTACCAGTCAGAATAGCTCCTACCAAGGACCATAAGCACATCCTGCCTGTGGACTTGAGGACAAAGGGGTGAGAGTAGGCGGGACAACATGCTGATAGTGTGTGAGCTATTGGACTGGCATTGCCTCCTTTCCTTGCAGCTCAGAGGGCTGTCAGAGTAACTCTGCGGAATATTACCATTCTTGCAGACACGAGCTGAATGTCTCAGTGAAACTGTTTGTCAGCAATATGCTATTTAGGTGACACTAGTTCAGTTTCTGCTGTTGGAGGGCCAACTTCCTCCTTCTGGCTCTGCAGATCATGTAGTTCAGTGCACCAGTATAGTGAGTCCATTGTTCTTTAGGTGTTTGGATTCAATCTGTATCCATGAGCATTCTTCAGCAGCACTCGTTCTCCTAAGATTTCTTTGTCAGATTTAGGAGACCAGGTGTCACAATGGCCTGTTTTTGCTAAAAGTCCTGAATGTAAAGAAGTACTTTGGTATTGTAGTTTGTTGTCATCAGACAGCTTGAGCTGAAATTGTAGGTGGCTGAGAGCAAACTTTTTTTTTTTTTTTTTTTGACTTGTCAACATTTGAGAAACTTCGGGGAGAGGTCTTTGTTTCTGCTACAGTGTCATCTCATGAGCTGCTTGGGGGAAATGCGGCTCTTCCTTTTCCATCAGTATTTTCCCTTTGAGAGATGTTTCAACTTGCTTTTGTCTTCATCTTCTCAATCATTTTGAACAGTATTGTAAAAACAGTGTGGAAGAGAGATTTCCAAGTCCATGTTGTTGCTGAGACCATCTCTATGCATAAGAATTAAGCTACAGTCGGGCTTTCTTACTGTAATTATCACTTGTCTCAGTTATGAAAAAAAAAATAAGAGGGCCATGTATTGTCTGCACTCATTCACGGCTTATGTTTTCTTCTATGGGTAATAAAATAACTTTGGTATCGCCAATCGCCAATAGATTCCAAAGTGAAGGTGTGTTAATGAGAGATGTGTGTGCTGCATCTTCACTGTCAGAAGGCAGAGAGGAGAATTGTTTTGAACAGTTCAGTCAGACATAATTGGAAGTGATAGGATGAAATTGAGCAAAAAAGATATTTAAGTTGGACATCAGGAAAAATTGCCTAACAATCAAGTCAATTAGGGTCTGGGAAGGGCTCTCAAGGGAGTCTCAATCCATCTAACCACAGCATATGTCCCAGTACTGTGTCTAGACAGCAGAAATAGCAGCAGATGAATATACTTATTTCAGGGTAAATTGCCCTAAATATAAGCGCACCCAAAAATTTTCAGAGTAATAAGAGTAACTTCTCAACTGACAAATGTTTGTTGTCTGTTTGCTGGTGCCTTTCACAGCTCTGCATAGTAAGTAGAGTGAGCACAAATGAGTAACATGCCACGGTCTTGGCTGAGTTTGTGATACATACAGTGGTTGTATTACAAATGTCTCCTGATCCTATAGGATACTCACTGTTATGCAATTAACAGTATACAGAATGTTCCATACAAGAAGTAGATTTTCATATCCAGATGAAGAGAAGGCTGGGTCAGAATGTGGTGCGAGCTTGGTGGGATTCTTCCTCTTGACTCAAACAGGTTTTGGGGGTCTGCACAGTCTGTGCACTGAGAATTCTGGGCACAGAGAATCTGAAGTGCAAGTAGGAGATGAAACAAAGACTCAAGGGGGGATGAGTGATAAGGGACAAGGACAGAGAGGTAAGGAAAGCTTTGAACGTGAGATGGAGAATTTGAAATTGCCCTTTGTGAGCATGAAAGCTTGTGAATGCAGTTCTGTCTCCCCAAAAACGCTCTTCCTTCACAAATCTCTGTAACCCTCCTTGACCTATAATTGTTTTGATAAGAGAGCACCAGGATTATGAAGACGAGGTATTCACACTGTTTAAAACCTTGTTTCAAAGTCCATTATGGGGGATTTTTTTTTTTTTTCTGGCAACACTAATGTATGTAAATTCTTCTGAGTGCAATGGGAATCAGCCTGTTGCCATGTTTTCTTTTTCAGTTAGTGGAGTTTGGGCTGTGTTAGTTGTTTGCATCCAACAAAGGGGACTGTAGGCTCAGATGAAAGAGCAGCTCAGCATTTATATTCAAGGATTTAAAAGAGATGAGTTCTTTCTTCCCACATGAAATAAAAAACGTTTATCCTGGTACCTAATGGCTTCCACACAAATTCTTTCTCTTCACTGTAGTTCGGCCTTTCATTCTAAACTGACTGGTAAGTGGAAGCTGACCCACTTTTATCTGGCAGCCTGCATTAATGTGCTTTGTGGAAGCCAATTACGATACCAGCGTTGCTCTGCAGAGTATTCCCAGCAACTCCACAGTATCACAACAACAGCTGCACAAAATCCCTCTAAATCATGTGCTGCCTTTGTGCACGTTTGCTAAACCTGCCGTACCTGCAGCACTGCTGAGGATGAGTTTGTCTGTAGCAGGATGTCATGTAGTACAATAACAATGCTAATTCTGCAAGGACAATTAGTTGTCTGGATTTACATTATTTCCTTTTCAAATCCTTTTTTTTTTCCTTTCCCAAAATTCTATTTGTTTGTGTTTGATTAAAAAATAGGATTTTTCTTTACATAGCATTAAAAATCTTACTTTATGTGACAGTGTTCTTCAGGAGAAAATTCAAAGTATGCAAATTAGAATCACAGAATCACCCGGGTTGGAAGGGACCTCAAGGGTCATGTAGTTCCAACCCCCCTGCCTAGCAGGGCCACCAAACATACACATTTAGATCAGGTTGCCCAGGACCCCGTCCAAACTTGGTTTCCTGCTTTATTCTGCAAATGAAAGGTCTGTTATGTAGGCTTCCTCTGATTGCTTTGTTCTGTACCAGGGTCATGAAAAAATATTCTTTTCCTAAGTGATGTGCAGATGTCTTAAATGGTGGCACTTACTCTGCTGTTTCCCTCCATTCTCTGACAAAGCGTGGAATAGCAGCAATGCAAACTGTTGTGATCAATATGTGCCTTCCTACAGCAGTTCATAAAGTGGTGCCATAATTATCATTAGATTACCTGTTCTCTTTGTCCTGAGGTCCCCACAGCTTGAACTGAACTTTAGTCAAACTAGAAAACTAAGTCCGGTTTTATAAGGAATTTCTTTAAAATCCAGGAAGGTTTTTGACCTGTCTCTAGTTTCTCTCTTTTGTAGCTCGCAGGAATGTCCTGAGGTTACTAAAGAACTTTGGTTCTGTTGATAACAGTGAATCGTATCAAGCCAGCTAGAATGCTGATAGTTTTCATGGCTCGTTGGGTGGATCCTCAGAGTTCCTGAATTCCAGCATGAGTTGCACATGCTCAGCAACTTTCACCATCTGTTTCTTAATCTGTGATTACAACAAGAAATGACTTGTTGATAACTTCATACATTAAAAATTTTATCAACCCTCCAACTGATAACATTAGGAGGCAACTAGCTATGGAAATGAACATCATGATTTATTAAGGGATGTTATACAAGGATTGTATTCCTTATCATGAAGTAACAAAACTGTTTTCCTCCTCTAGCTAGAAGTGGCCTATTATGATCTCCAGAGGCTATTTTACTTATGGGTTTCTTTGCTTCACGTTGCTGTACAGGTCCAAGTGATTTGCATCTCTTGTTAACTGGGACTGTTAAAGCCCCTGTCATTGTATTATTGGATGGTGCAAGAAGCTTGCCAAAATCAATACTAACTTCTAATAAAAACAAACAAAGCCTTCAAATATCCTGGCCAGAGTAACAGTGTAGCTCAGTTCAAAAGGCAATGAGCTGCAGATGGGGAGAGGCTGATTGGGGCTCAGTGTGGGACCTCAGACAAATCAGTTCCCCTTTCGGTGCTTGTTTGCTTTTTTTTCCCTCCACTGCTCATCTGATTTCTGTTTAGGCTGCACTCCTTAGACTCTTCACTACCTATCACAGCAGTGGGACTATTTGATACCACAGTCCAATTAATTATATAATTGTAATATTAAATTCAGCTGAATACCTGATTTTTCATTTATATGTTGTCCCAGCTGCCTCACTTCAACTACAGTTTGCAGCATAGAAAGTCCCCCAGACTTCCTGTTGATAAATTGCTCGTTCATCTTGTAGTTTTTGGATTTCAGTGATATGTAGTGTTCAAGAACTGAAGTTGAGCTGAGAGCCCAAAGGTCCAAATCTCCAAATTGGGAGCTGGTGTAAAGAAATGATAACCAATTGGAATGAGGGCCAAGTAGTACTGAACTGGAGTGTACAGGTTTGTGCAGAAAAAAGGTATCCTGGTACTCATAAATCAATTTAGGCTGGAAGTTAGAATATTTCTAGCTGTTAAGGCAGCTTGTTTTTACTTCAGCATCAAATGTGGCAACAAAAATGGGGTTCAGAAAACATCTGTGTAAACTGAAGATGTGTATTGCTGACGTGTTTTTGTGGGATTGCTGGCAGGGAGAGAGGACTTTGTTATCCTGTTGAAACCTTGAATTCTAGAGTCTGTGTGGGAGGGAGCCTTGCTGGCAGGTAACTGATCAGACAGTTTCACTTTTCGCTTCTCTGTGAAAGGGAATGGAATCTCTTCCTCTTAACAAAAAGAAGAACTGATGAGACACAGCATGATGATTTAGGTCTCAGCTGTGGATGCTGTATGTTTCTATGGGAATCTTTTCTTAGCAAGATTTGTGTGATCGGTCCTTTTCCCCAAAGAAAACAATGTCAGTTGAGAGAGATTCACTGAGGGAAACGAGTGAATGGTATGAAAAATCCAATGGGGAAAGGTCATGGCTATTTATTTCTGATTGGAGCCTCAAGTAATGACTTTGAATTAACATTTGTGATTGCTGTAGCAGTAAGGAGACTGTAATGCACACTAATGCAAAAACCATTTGATGATGACTGGGGCTGGGAAGGAAATAATGGATTTCTAACACACAGAAAAATGTAACGTGTCTTCTTCCACTAAGGGATCCTTTGTATGTTCAAGGTGAATAGTGTTAGCAGAGGGAAGCAGGATCTCTGCTCAAGCTGCAGCTGCTGTTAAGAGTCGTGTCTAGTAAGTACTGAAGTCCTAATTTGCTCTTGTTGATGCATACAGCAGATAGTTTGTGCTGGAGGAAGGAATGTGTGTATGAGCTGTCTTCTCTTTGCTTTTGCACTGTACCTTTGAACATGTCTTCTGTTCAGTAGTACTAATATTTCTGTTCTCTGATGTGCACACAAGTTGCAATCAGTAGCATTGAGAGTTTGGGTAGGATGGGGGATGGAGTAGAAATGTTAGAACAGGCCCAGCACAGTAGGTGGCAGAAAGAGCAAGCACAGCAGCTAATGTAGCCTGCCTGAAGATAGTGGGAAATCTCCAGCTAGAACAGATTTAATGATTAAACTAAAGGAATGTTTTGCACAATGTGAATTTGATGAATTTCAGTACATAAGTAGAAGCCACTTATTTGGTGGCTTGAGTAGCTGGTTCTGGAAGGCACTGGAGGAAAAAAGAAAGGTTCTTCCTTTGGATTTTTGATATTAGCTGGAATAAAGGTTGTGGGGGAGCTTGGATTTTCCACTGAGTTTTAGTTTGTGTTAACGCATGCTCCTTTTCAGGATCTAGCTCGTGTGAGACATTACATGCTATAGAACTTGGAATGAGAACACGTCTTTCAATCTAATAAAGAAAAGACCTTTAAAGTTGGGGGTTGCCAACTAAGGGCGTTTTGTTTTCTTGTCTGGTTGAGTTAATCCACTGTTTATATGTAATTACATTTTACTGCTGGATGGTTATCATTTTACCTGTAGGCCAACGTATCTCTGGCACTCCAGAGTTCCTCATATAGGAATTTAAGTATTTAAGTGATTACCTCTTAAAAAATATCTGCTGCCAGCTGACACGGGTTTCAGCATGATAGTGTGCTGTGCCCTAGAAACCAACGTTAAATGCCAGAATTCACAGTTTCATGTTTCTTGACTGTCAAGCAGAGATTTTCACAGTTCTCTTGCAACTACAGCTCCTTTCCCTAAGCTTCAAAGTATCTTGTGGAAATGGAGGTGATAGCCATGATGTTGCCTAGAGCGTTTGTGTTTCTGCTTACAAGCAGACTGGGATAAGTTGTAAGACCTAGATACGTCTGCACACATGCCCATATCTGTTTTGTAAGAAAAAATAAGAGCTCTTTTTTTCTTTTTACTTGAATTTCCCAGCTGGGCTCAGTGTTTGCTTCCAAAGTCATTTTTGTAGTTGTGCACTGCAGTTGTTCAGCAGTGGGCCTGCTAATGCATCCAGCATGCCCTTCTGGTAAAGCCCTAAGATACTTTCACTGGGCGTACAGCTGCCTTGGAGAAATTTAAGCTTCACCAAAAATAAAATGGATTCTTCCAGTTAACCTGAAGGGGAAACATAAGCATTGCTTTCTTGACAGGAGACTATAAATATTTTTGGGTTACACATCACAGCACTTATTTACTGTAGCTCCCGTTGTGGCATTTAACTTTCTCTCTGTTGAATCTTCGTTTTTGTGTATCAGACACCTCCAGCATAGAGCTCTGCTGAGCAGAAAATGCAGTTTGTTCGTGTATTTTCAAAAATAAGATTCAGATGATTTGTAATGGGGCACAGCAACAAACATTTTAATGTCTCATTTTACATTTTTTTTTATTGGAAAGTTTATCATTATAGTAAAGTAACTTTTACTTCAACCTCAGTCTGTGCATCAATCAGTGTCAGGCTTTTATAAAACAAATGTAAAAGATTCAGCAATTTATTGTTCAGATTTTAGTTCTACACTCCAGCTAGGTAAGTGTATCCTGCCTTACAGATAAAGACACTCATGCAAAGATGTCGGATTGAAACGTTTGATCGCCAGTGTCACATCAATTTCCTATGATTCCTTGTGCTGAAAGTTACGACAGGTTTGTCTGCATCCCTGCAAGGCTTGGATCATACAGGAGTTTGGACATGATGTCTGCTGCTAAGAATTATAGCTCAGGGGACCTGACGTCCAGTTTTCTAAGGAAATGAGTGGACATACCATAAGCCTCTTTTAAATGAGAATATCTTTAGAATGTAGATAAATCCAGTGTAACTGGGCATTTCACTTCTGACTCCCATAAAGTTCTCTATAATGAAAGCACAGCGAAGATACTGTTTTCTTACTTAGCTGTCATGCAAACAATGCAGTGAATTTCAATGCAAAAAGGAAGGCTTTGTTCCCCAAGCCTGGGCACACCTCTCTGTGGGAAATGAAGTGACTGAATCTCCCTCATAGAGCTGTGGGCTGCTGTAAAATGTCATCTCTCTTGGGAGCTGTTGCTGTTTTTCATTCTGTTCTTTTATTTGGAAAAAATCTCAATATTCCAGTGAGTCCTGGAGGTCACAGCTTAGGATTTTATAATAGGAAAAAAAGAGAAACACTTCTCAGGGCTCTGCAGAAAGCTGTGGTGTTTCCAAAACTCTCTCTAACACAATAATAACTGCAATGTGATTTAAAAATAATAATAATAAATAAATATATATGTATCTCAAATCCTAGCTGTGTAGCTAGTAGAATGTTGATGAATAAAGGTAAAACTCTTTGCCGGATTAAAGGTGGCTAAATTCCCTTGCCCTTGGCACAGCTCTGACAGCAGCACAAAGGGATCTATCACCACTTTGCTTCAGGTTTTGAGTAACAAAAGGAATCAGATTAGATTAGAGATTAGATTTTCTCCAGTTTTCGTGGAAAAGGGAGGGGAATATCACTGTAGAAGCATCCAGTGCAGCTCACCATTGCTGATCAAGCCCAAGGGTGTTGAATGGGGAAAGATTAGTAATATAAATGCTGTAAGGAGGCTTACAGGAAAGGTTCTTTCTTTTGTAGAGTAGTATGGGATGGATCTGAATTGTACACAGGTCTGGAGCTGGTGCTATTCTAATATCTTGATAATGGTATAGATTCCTGCCAACCTGTCAAGCAAACTTGCAGATATGCAAGAATTCTTCTCAAACATATGGATAATATGACTTGGGCTTCCTTGTTAGAGAAGCATAATTGGGGAAATACGGCTTTTCAACTGACACCTCCCTGTGTTTAGCTGTAGCATCAGATTTGTTAAGAAATTCCCATTGCTCTGTCTCCAGGAAACAAAATCAGAGACACACAAAGTGTGTTCCAGAAAAGTTCTCTTTTTGGTTTTAAAATGTAAGATTAAAAGAAATCTGTTTTGCTAATAGGGGATGAGTCTTCCATACCATGTAACTCTGACAGGTTGCTGGAACAATTAGACAATGCAGAGTTGAAACAATCTTTTAATAACCACATCTTCCTTCCAGAAATGGCAGTGTGTGGAAGATGCCAGTGGGAAGCTCAAATTGCACAAGTGCAAGGGAATGATGAACTTGGCAGGCAACAACAAAGGCACTTCCAATCTTTTGCCCAAGTACTACAGCAGGAATAGTGAAGACTGCAATTGTGAAGAGAATGAATACAAGCTGAGCCACACAGGACGGAGGAAGAAGCTCTTCTCCAAGAAGAGTAAGTGAGCTCACTGTATTTTCTTTCTCTGCCTCACAAAACTATAAATGTTCACAAACACTCCCAGTTGTCCCGATTTTCACGGACATTGATTTCTACAGATGTCATTGAAGACAAGCATATTTGCTGCGTATCTCAGTATGAAGCAGTGTGTTTTATATCAGACAATCAGATTTGAAAATGTCTCAGTCTATAGGAAGAGGAGTATGTTTCAAAACAGGGTGCTGTGTTTATTTCTTTCAGAAGCAGGAAATGCATTACACAACCTGAAGTGGTGAGGAGCTCATCCTTACGTAGGCCTTGAGAGCAGCAAGTACACCAATCCTCAATATGCTGCAGTGCTTGGGGCTGTTACTGCAGTAATTTATATTTAATAAGGATTTGTGTGCTTTTTTACAGAAGCTGCTTCTAACATCCCTTCCTTGTGCTGTCAGCAGAGCTGACTTTTAACCAGAGATCACATCCAAAGGGGATGTCTCTGATTCTAGTCTCCTTGGCACGGATCAGGCGCTTCTTCAGAAAGTCCATTCCACTGGCTGTGTTTTAAACCTTAGTCAGACTAACATCTATATTTGAAGTACCTAGTCTAATTATAGATTAAAGAGGCAAATGGCAGCACAGATTACCATTCACTTGTAATGTTTCTTTCGTCTCACTCCACAAATACAGAGCCTTAATTATTTAGCAGATTAGTCTTTCTGTATAATGACATGGCACAAGCTTCAAACAGAGAGTTTAAATTGATTTTCTTCCATTATATTTGCCTAGCAAGCAGATTTGTACCTACTAAGCTAATTTTTAGTTGAAAAAAAATTATTGGTTCCAGGATGAAATTACTTAACAACACTTGCAGTTTAAACATGTGGCACAGCAGATAATCTTTAAATAACACCAGAACTTGCCGTTCAATTAACTTTTTTTTCCTAAGACACAGAAAAGGAAGTTCAGTCACAGGGAGTCAAATAACAGCAGATCGAAGGTGCTTAAATGGGAAGAGGAAAACAATTTAAGTGAGGGCAACATCATGCTATCTGATAATACTTGACACTTACCTAAGTGCTTTTTATCTGCGTTGTGCTTACTAAACATTAACCAATTTTCACAACGTTTTGGAGAGGTGGTTAAGTGTATAATTACCTTTAGTTCATGGATTAAGGAGATCGAGGCACAACTTCAGGGTTGCAAAGATAGCTTTAGTGGTGGGATCAGAACACTTTCTCAGTATGTTCTGCTTAGTGCTTTCACTGTCCCATTCATCTCACTTTTCTCATTGACCATAAGGCACAAACTCCTGCCCACATGCAGGGTGTGCCGTACAACAGAAGAGGTTGGCATGGGCCTGTTGACACAGATTCTTGGGTTTGGTGTTGGCTGTTCTTTCACGTCTGCTTAATCTAACAAATGACACTGAAAACAAATGACCACAAAGCAATACAAGTTAACATACCAACATTTTTCTGTGCTTACTTAGAAAGCTGGCTCGCTGGATTGCAAATGACAACTTGAATACTGATGGTGTGCATTTGGATTTTTATGACCTGTTTCATGAGGCTTGGGATAAAGTGCAGTCTGTGCTGGGTTCTGAGGGCATCTTTGGAGTCTGCTGTTCTGAATTTGATTAGTGCAAGGGGTTATACTGCAATATTACCTGAATGCCAGCAAGTGCTAACCATGAAACTGAACAGTAACTAAACAGAAAAAGGAAATCTCAGACAGGTTATGCCCATGTCAGTGGTTTAGTTCATAGCAGTAGTGTAGTTTTGAAAGCATCCTATTGTGAACAGTAGAGGTGAATTTGTTATGTTCTAATCTACGTTGGCTGCAGAAAACTAAATTGGATGCCCTGCTTCTGGGTGCAACAAGACTGTTGCAAACTCATAACAATACAAGGATTGCTTTTTGGAAAGATACAAACCAGCAATGCATGATGGATGTGTGGTCTGGAAGAATGGATTAAACTGCTGAGTGAGGGGCCAGAGCACCAAACGTTCTGATAAAATGAATTTGTAGTGTATGCATGGCCTGTGGTCCTGTGCACCGTAATGTGCAGCGGGCATGGAGTACTCTGAATGGAGCACATTAATTGCCAAACAGGGCCATGCCATAGACATGCTGTTTGGGACAGTTACACAGCTCACCTGCACAGCTTTGATGTGTTTTGCACAGCAGTGTTGTTCTCTTGGCTGTGCTATTATTTTTATAAAGTGATGAAATAAAGCTTTGTGATGGGAAGGAAGCTGAAAGTAACAGTGAGCTCTTAATAGACAACAAATAGCCAAATGTTTGTTTTTTCTTGCTGTAGATTTCGCCTCCTCCTCCTGTGATGAACAAGTCATCACATTAAAGGAGAGGAATGATGATAGGCCACACAAATTTGTGCAGTGTGTACAAAGAAGCCAGTGCATTTTTATTCCTATTTTCATGTAATTTGTTTTGTTTTGAGGTAGTCTCAATACGACAGCAAAATGACTTTCTTTCTTACAAGTACCTGAACACCTGAACAGCCATTACTTTTAATGCGTTTGAAACAATTTTTATGACAGTTTTGAGAAACTGAGGTTGTTTGGTTTAATTTTTGTCTCTCTTTGAGATATCCAAGAACACAGATTCTGAGTAAGATTTATAGAAACCCCTAGTTAATGATCAAGTGAAGCCACTGCTGTGCCTTTGTCCATATTTCTGGACACCTGAGATATACTCAGAGATTTGAGTCCAAATGCCTGATTTTACTTTGAATTTATCAAAGAAAAAAGTCTGTGCAGAATTTTGTGAAAATACGTAGACATAACTGAGAATATAAAGCAGGAACCTGTGTGCCCAGTGCAGGACTTTTTCCTCATGGCCCATTGTTTCAATGCAGAGTTCTTGCATAATTTTCACATACTGCCTTATTCCACTGTCACTGTGCTGGTGACAATATTTTCATACACCCAAAACATCTACATAGAATAAGTGGTAAAAGGGAAGCCCTGGAACTTTCTGTCTTCTGCTCACTTTCCTGCTGAGCAGTTGTGTTCCTGCTTTGGAGAAGGTGCCTTTCGGGAGTTACAGTTGCTCACAGTTTTCTTAACCATCCCTCTGGTCATTTCCAAATGATGTCAGCATTAAATCATGAATTTGGCAGCTGCAAAATAAGTAATAAGGCTCGAGTGGTGAGGTTGTGGGGAGAGTTAAATGCAAACCTGAAGGCTGATAATACAGCATAACCTCACTTCATTCAGTTGAACAATAAATTCAGACACTGCCGTTCATGTTTTCACCAGGTAGTGCTGAAACCTGAGATGTGACCAAGAATTAGCTGTAGAAAATCAAGGGTGCTTGAGTCCCTGGATTGTCTGGGGAAGTCTGGGCCAGAACAGAGCACGTCCCTTCAGGCTAGGACGAACACAGGTATGTTTGTCAAGTGACCCAGGAAGGCAGGGCAGAGTGAGCGTGGCACTGAGAGCAGCTTAGTGAGACCAAACATCAATAATTTGAAAGAGGGTCATAGGCACATTGGGCCAAATATTTAACAGACTTAGATCTACTTTCTTTGTGAGTTGTGTACACAGTTAAATGTAGGGTAAAGCATAACCCTGGAGGAAGATTAAGTGGTTAGAGGTTGGTAGCTCTGCCTGCAGGGGCACAGCACAGATGAATGTGGATCTTACTAAATATTTTAACTACTTACTCTGAAAATGATGGAGTTTGGTACCAATGGCAGCATTGAGTCGGCGCTGTGGCTGTCGTGTGGTAACGAGGCAGCGAGCCTGTGAGGAGCTGTCTCACTGCAGAGCAATTTGTTCTTGGTGCAGCTGGGTCAGGACTGGCTGCAGGGCAGGAGGAAGCGGCTCCCAGTCCTTCAGGGGCATGTGCAGACAACAGCTCCCTGCAGCACCTGCTCAGGGCCAACATGCTGGATTGGTTTATTAGACTTGGAAGGAAGGTAAATTGTTGGTTGGAAGAGCTTAACAAGATGAAATGAGGGAACAATCAAAGAAATGGGAGTTTACGCTTTGAATGTAATTGTTAGGGTGTAGCTTTTTGGAACTTCCTCCTACCTTCCTTCCTCCTTCCTCCTACTTCTGAAAAGATAGGAGTTACTTTCTTGTTTATTCAAGCATTTCCTGAATGGGTGCCTGGAATAGAGCTGATATTTTGGTTTTGGTGGTTATTTATTTATTTTTCCCTCCAGCTGTGACTCACCTCACTCGCTGTCAGCTGTAAACTGTAACTACAGGTGGAAAATGTGCTGAACTGGGCAGTCCAGCTGGTGTTCTACTTCGTGTGTGTGGTACTAACAAGTGTTCAGAGCTGGACTGTAGTTACAGGTGGGAGGAGATGGTTTTTTCTCTTTCCATGTCTACAAAATGGCCATTGAGACCATGTGATCCATCTGGATTTTATGCAAGGCATCTTGAGTGAAGTTAATCTGTGCTGATGCCAAATATAAATATTGCTTTTGTCAGTTTTTGTTGTTCTACCTTCCATTCTTTTTTTGTCGTCTTGTTTTGCTGGGAAGTTTGTCCTTGAAACTGTTTCTTCTATGGAGTTTGGGATTACAGGAAATGCTGCTCTTCTCATTGGGCACATTGCTTGAGTTTTCCCCTTACCAGATTGCAGAAGAAAGAGTCAGTTCTGTTCTGCCGAGGTGTGCTGTGCTCCAGCTTTGTGTAAAGGGGAGGTGACCGGAGGAACCAATACTTGCTTCCAGTAACATCTCAGATGATTCCAAACCATGAATACAGAGCACAGAGTCAGGCACTGGGTAGGGAGAAGACAAGAGGCTCTGGTACCTTCATGGGCTTTTTTCTCAAGGAGAGAGATGATTCTGCTTAATTTAATCTGATGAGTAATGAAACGAGTGGCATGAGGGGTCACTTGCAACGAGCAGGAAACACAGCCAGATGTGGCCTGCATAGAAATATAGATGTGGATTAGACTCCATATATTCATGCCATTGCAGACCAAACAAAATAGCAACTCTGGGGCATTTGGGCCAGGACAGAGAGTTTTGGAAAGCAGTAAAAGGCAAAAAGATCAGGGGGAATCTCATACTGTGCAATGTCAATTCATAGCAAATGTTTCTTTTTGCTGCAAACACAGAAGCAAAGCCTGAGGGAGTGCATAGCACAGGAGTGTGGTGTTTAGCATGGAAATTTGCTGTCTGGTCTGTACACGAGGAAAATAATTGCAAATAAAAGAATGAGATGCTGATAGAGGTAAACATTCAGATATGAATCCCTCCAATGAAAATCAAGAATCTTATCTTGAAGAAAGAGAATGGAATGGAGAAAAGGCTCAGGCTGACACAGGGAATTCTTCCTGCTGAAACGTGGGACAACAACCTGGGAAGTGCTGCAAGAATTCTGGCACTGGAGCATTTTGCAGTAGTTAACGGGAGGCTGACCTGAGACCCGCAGTCATGATGAGTTCTTAAGGTCTTACTGCCATCTAGCGACTTCTGGGGGGGAAGAGCAGAGTTTCTTTGAACGAGCTCAGAAAGTGATGGTGAGATACATATTCTTTTCCCTCTGCCATCCTTGTGCATTTTATCTGCCTCTCTCCTGCTTTAAGAAAACCCATCAATCCGTGCAAAAGGTGGTGAGGTGGCACCCAGAGGAAAGCTGCAACAAACAGCATTTGTCAGCAGGTTAATTCCAATGTCAAAATATAGGCAGATTTTTTTCCAAGAACCACAGAAGACCAAATTGTACCAGGCTGTTTCTTCCCCTCTTAATCCTCTTACTTCTTTCTCCATGCAGAATACAAACCAAGCTATGCTCGGAATCGCTCTACCCGCTCTGTATCCGTTGAGCTGAACGGGGCTGTTTTTAACTTGGGTTTAGAGGATGGATACCAACCTGTCTTACCAAGAAACATCACCAAGCGACACAAGATGCAGAGGGCTGTTCTTCACGAGGAGGAAGACAAAGACATGGCTGAGTACAGTGGCACTGGAGGCATTGCAGAGTACGCAGCCCCAAACCTGATAAAAGTGACACACAGGTGAGTGCATGTGCTATATTTCTATATGCTTTTGCTCCTTCAGTGGTTGCTTTAAATAAGTAGGTGTATTAACTTTTGATAAGCATACTGTGCCCCTTCGGGATACCTGGTCATAGTTTCCTATCATTGATTGCTTTGTATTTCAAATACAAAATCAGTCTTGAGGGTAGCAGCAGCTTCTCAGAGCTTCCTGTGCCCAGTGCTAGGAAAGGAAAATCTGTATTACTGATGAAGTTGGGTGAACCATGAGCCTTGGGAAATGGGACGTTGAATAGAGCCTATGGAATTATCTGGGTTTTAAAGACACTCTAATAGCTAACAGTCTGTTTTTCAGTTTGCAGATCTAGGGGTTGATGATGCATCTCCAACTGTGCTTAGTTGGATTACCATTTCTGCTTCTGAATTATGAGAACATCAGTGACTACTGATGATGTGAATTAAATTCTGTGATGACTAACTTGCATAAATCTGTGTGAGCAAGTTAGCTGTTGAAATATGTGGTTTCCATTTGACTTCAGTTTACAAAGTCTTAAGAGACTTGTTGATACAAGGAAACATAGCTGGGCTGACATCAGCAGAGTTCTCAGCTTTTTTGAATACGCAGGATTTATAAGACACTGTTTGTGTTTTTTCTTTTGGAACCTGTTGAGTCAATTCTTTGCTGCCTTGCTGGGTGAATCCCAAATCCATAAAAGGAGCTGGCAAGGAAATTCTATGTAATCCTGAGGGGTGCCCAGGAACACTTGCAGAAAAGAAGGCAGTGGGACAACATGTGTGAAGTGCTTTAAAGAAAATAAAGGAATATTGAAGAAACCTGAGCTTCAACTTAAATAAGCAATCAGGGTTAAGGGTGTGGTATTTGTTATTCCCTAATAATCTAACCAAGTACACCTGTCAAGTATTTTGCCTTTTTTTCCCCCTTAAATCTTAAAACCAGGACTGTACTAGAAATTACTGAAATGTAAGTCCTCAGCGTTGTCAGATGGTATTTTGCCTTTGAAGTCAGGGAGGTTATTTGAAAAAGTTTATTCCTTTTGTAGAAAATCATTTTTTTTTCCTTTGCAGTATTATAGTAAGTCTTACAAAGAAGCACGTTTTCCTTGCTCCTATCCCTGTACTGCTGAATTATGCTCCTGAGTAATGCTTTCTGTACTTCCTAGTTAGTAGAGATGAGTTACGTTGACAGCCTAATGAATAAACAAGAATTCTGTGCAGCACAATTTACATTTAGAAATGAAGTAGTCAACAGGTTCTACTTGATAGGAATATTTTTGATTATTCTTTCTTCCTTCTCAAAAATTTCCATGGCAACTCCAACCCAAACTTCTTTCCTGCCTTGTAAGATATTCTCCTATTCTCTTGAATGAACATTATTTTGAATTCTGCATGTCATTTCCAATCCGACTTCTCATCTGTCCTGGAGCTGTGTAATTAGAACCAGCTGTCTGCACTGTGCATTTATCTGCTGTAGTAAACACTGTTTCTCCACGGCCAGGTGCTACATCCTGGAGAATGACACCGTTCAGTGTGACACTGATCTGTACAGGTCACTGCAAGCTTGGAAGGACCACAAACTTCACATCGACCACGAGGTCAGTGATGCTGTTGGTCACGCATTTTCAGTGTGTGATTTTAGCCTGGTCTGTGGGCTGATAGGATCGTGCTGTGTGTGTCTGTCTGCCTCTGGGTGTCTTTGTCCCTCCCTGGGACCTTTTGAACTTAGTGGCTGATTTCCGAATAGAGATGCCATAGGTAATTAAGTTAACACAAGTGGGGCCTGCTGTAATCTCTTACCAAATCACATAAATTCTCAGCAGTCCTACTTAAGAACTTGCTGGTCCCTTTCTGTGGTACCTATTGACATATACTAAGGGAAATAAATTCTGAAAATCTTACTAGCTCTGCTAGAATTAGAAAAAGGCATCTCAGTATCACCATGATCTTCCAGTTCTTTTTTAGTTGTTTAGAAACTGTAAGCAAAGGGCCTGAGCATAGGTTAGAGTGCCAAAGAAGATGAGATCACTTCGGTCCGGTTGTGTTTCTGATTTAGGATCACAGGGCTGCATTCTTTGTCTGTTTTTCCTGACCTCTCTGTCATCTGTCTGTGCTTCTGCAGTCAGTTATGTACTCCCATCAGATTTATGGTCTCTGATGTCTGATGGTAGTTTTGCAGTGACTTCATTTCTCACACTGGAGGACTTCTTTTTTCTGTTGTATGAGGAATTGAAGCAGAAGCCTGTAATACCTGCCTGCATGGAATCAGGCTGTGCTGTGTGAGAGCTGGGTGAACAAAAGCAGGAGTTTCACTTACTGAAGAATTAGGTGGTTAAAAATAAACCATGTGGGTGGTACAATTAAATTAACTGCTAGTGCACGTGCTGTGTGGCCAGCCATTGCCAGTGCTGTGTGAAATGATGGAGACTTGATACTTTTCCAGACTGTCTGAAGAGGGGACCTACAGCACTCCCCATCCCCTGCTCAGGTTTGTAGCAGGCCGGGTAACCTTTCTCCTTTGCAAATGTGCTGACAACCTGAAGAGGGAAAATCACAGTGGATCACCTGTATCCTGAGGCTGTATGGCAGTCCCTTCTCCCTCCAGTGCCATGTTGTGCTTTCACCTTCTGTCTGCAGGTGAATTGTAACCAGAAAAGATTCCTCCTGGCTGCAGTTTGCTTTCAGAGATGTAGATAATCTGAAAATGGGAGGTGGGGAAATAGAAGCATTTGGTGGCATTGAGTTTGAAAGGATTAGAATAAAATTAACATGCTGTATTTTTATTTAACCTGTGTTTTCCATTTTTTAGATTGAAACTTTGCAAAATAAAATAAAAAACCTGAGGGAGGTGAGAGGACATCTGAAGAAGAAGAGACCCGAGGAGTGTGACTGTAACAAGATAAGGTATTTCTTGTGTACTTCTGAGTAGTTATCTGTACTGTGCAAGTGTAGCTGATCCATGCCTTCACAGGAGGGGTTAGAATCTGTTTTGCTAAGTTGCCTCCTGTACTGTTGCCTAATGCTTTCTGCAGCTGTCCCTGGTACAAGGCCCACCCTCTGCCAGCGGAAATTCAGTTGCTTTTGTGCCAAGTGACGATGATACAGAAGATCACATAAAATGCTTTTAAACCAATTAGGTGTGCAAGCAACTGAAGTTGCTTCCGTTAGATACTAGAGATCAGTATCTTAAGCTCTGCAGCCCATTTTCTGAAAACTTGCTTTCCACTTTCAGTGGACACATACTGCAATTCAGTAGTGGGCCACCAGGTGTCACAGTGCACAAATAATGTAAGGAAAAGAGAGAAAATGCTTGATCCAGTCCAGCATGGCTGTCTTGTATTCACCACGTATTCCTGTTAATAAATAGAAGGGAGAAGTGACACCATCTTAAATCTGCTTTGATTTAAAGTGAAAGTGTAGCATGAACAGGATGGGTTCTCCTGTTGTTTATCAACAATGTTTTTTTATTTTCCAGTTACCATTCAAAACACAAAAGCAAACTGAGGCACAAAGGATCTAATCTTCACCCTTTCAAGTAAGTGAAGGTTTTCTCCTTTGAAACAGAAAAAATGCGAGACAGTAACATTTGGTCTGTTCAACAAGCCAAAACTAAGCAGAAGTGATACTTCATTTATCCTATGCTAAGAAGAGTACAGGTATCTGGGAAGGGAACCAAGCCCATGGTAGAATGTTTCTAAATGCACATCAGAGACTTCAGGCAAACCCGTTAAACCCCTTAGGCTACATTTTTTTCCCAGTATGGTGGAATTGCAAGGAATAATTTCCAGAGCCATTGGGAAGAGAAGCCATTCATTTAAGAAAACAGCAGTTCTTTCTTTCCTTAAAGCAGCTCATTTTATTAGCTGCTTCATTTTTTTTTTAGGTGTGTTCAAGTATAACAGAGTCAGCATGACCCTAATGTTTCATGTGTGCAGGAAAGCCCTACAGGAGAAAGACAGGCTGTGGCTGCTTCGAGAGCAAAGACGAAAGAAGAAACTGCGCAAACTGCTGAAGAGAATAAAAAACAATGACACGTGCAGCATGCCTGGCCTGACCTGCTTCACCCATGACAACCAGCACTGGCAAACCGCGCCCCTGTGGACACGTAAGGATACATCTGACTGGAGGAGTTAGGAGTCTGGGAGTTACTCACATCAGAGGCACACCGTTTTCCTCCTACTAAATGATCTGTGTTTCAGTGTTGGCAAGGGGGAAAAAACAGCAACCAGAAAACCCAGTAACTGTGTTTGAATACCTACAACCATTGCATGAATGAGACAGTACATACACAGTACAGTGTTGTTATCTCAGCAGCTGGAATGTATCCCAGCCAGTGAGGACAGGGGAAACAAATAGCCAGACACTCAAATTAGCTGTATTCTGAAAGCTAGGTATGCATAGAACAAGAAGCTGATGGTGGGAGGCATTCTCTGCTTTAGAATTCAAGAATGACAGAGTAACTGCCTGTGAATAAAGCAGTGCCATAAACAAAAAAGTACTAAGATAAGCGGTGCCTAAAGCTGGCAACATGTAGCTTATGTCTTTGTGTTTTCATTTGCAGTGGGTCCTTTCTGTGCTTGTACCAGTGCCAACAACAACACATACTGGTGTTTGAGGACAATCAACGAGACCCACAACTTCCTCTTCTGTGAATTTGCTACTGGATTCTTGGAGTATTTTGATCTCAATACTGACCCTTATCAGGTACCTCATCGTAGTATGGCTCTGGAAATGTATGAGTGTTCTTCACTGATGATGTGCTGAAATAGAACAGTATTGGTGCAAGATACTACGCATCAACTCATGTAATATGATCTAGCTTCTTTCCTGCTGGAAACAAATGACATATGTTCCACATATGGAGGCTACTGAACTACAAAGCAGTACCTGTTCTCTAACAAGAGCCCCCATGTATTGCAGCTCATCAATGCAGTGAATACGCTAGATAGGGAAGTTCTCAATCAACTGCACGTCCAGCTCATGGAACTAAGAAGCTGCAGAGGGTACAAACAGTGCAACCCAAGAACTAGGAACATAGATCTGGGTAAGTGCTTCTCCTGTTATGCTCAGAGATCAGCCAAATAAATGAATCTCTTGCTTAACCGCATGAAATTTTCATAAATGGAAAGGATTTTAGAATGTATTTATGCTACCCATGTTTTGTTGAACATGACTGCATGAACACATTTTTGTATGGTTTGTTCAATTTGTGTTATGTATCAGGTCCAGAAACTCAAAAGGTGTACTTGAATACTGAACTATGCAGCTGCTGAAATGCAGAGAGAGGAGAAAAGAACAAAACTAATGACATGAGTGAAAGAATACCTAATAGCTGCTTCAAGTTTGCAGGCTCATGGGGTAACCAAAGTTGGAAGGGATTTCTGGAGTTCAGCTAGTCCAACCTTGTGTTCACTGCAGGGTCAGCTCTGAGGTCAGACCGTGTTAAGTCGTGGCTTTATGCATTTGGATCTTGAAAACCTCCAAGGACAGAGACTGCACAATCTCTGGGCAATCAGTCCAGCAGCTGAGTTTCAGCATTCCATATGGAGTCATAATTTTTATAAATATTTATTTTAGAGACAATACAGTCCAGGCAGCCGTGTTAAAAAGTGGCTTAGCTTTAACCTCAGAATGCAGAAGAATACCTAAGCTGGTCAGATTTCCCCTGTGTTAGTGCAGGGTTGTAAAATAACAGCAGATCTAGGAAGAGAGGCACTGAGGAATGCATTATGCTACCAAAAGATGTGCTCTTCTAACTATGCCTTTATATTTCACAAAGAAGGAAATGAGTATTCTTTTTCTAGTCTCATCATTTCTTATTCCTGAAATCTTTCCTGGGTCTACAAAGAAATCATCTGGCTTATACTCTGTTGTTGTTGTCATTTTTTAAGTTTAGCAGCAAGATGAAAAGTGCAGGTAATTGCATTCTGTTTTTTAAACTGCATATCTTGTCTACCCCTTAGTGCAATTAAGATGACTTAAGAAATGCAATTAAAAATAAATGTGCAGCCATTAGAGCTTAAACTCCAAAGAACTCCAAAGTCACTCCAAAGAACAGCATTGTCAGCCTAAGTAAGTCCACAGAAATCCAATGTTATTTCAGGTCTTATTTAGTACACATATCAGCTAGGGCTGCATGTTTGAAATAACAGGTCTCAGCATTTAAATAACCACTGCATTACATTTACAGAAAAGTTTCAAATTTACCTATCATCTCAATTTACAACCTATTTTTCTTAGAATAAGGGATTAAATATTAAAAATAAGAGTACTAATGAACATGTTAATATTCTGATGTTCTTCTTTAAATTGAGCTTTAACCTATATCTTATCTGTTGCAGGCTATAGTTAATAACATGTTAATTTATTTTCATCTAGGACTCAAAGATGGAAGCTACGAGCAGTACAGGTACAGATTTTAAGATACATACAGTTAAATGATTGTTCCTACATACCACCTTTACGCTAAAGAGTCAGGAATCCAGGATTGGGAACCATCTAAAATTTGCAGTTTTTCTATCAGTTAGCTTCAAACACTGAAGCTACTTCTGTTGGAGTGTTACAGCATGTTCTTCTAATATTTGCAGCCAAAATTCATGCTAAACTCTTCTCTTTCCTCATCTTTCTGACTGTAGTGCTGGTGGTTTTCTTGGTGATGGTTAACTTTTTTCTCCTTTTACTGCTTGAAAATTAGGCAGTTTCAGCGTCGAAAGTGGCCAGATGTGAAGAGACCATCATCTTCTAAGTCACTGTGAGTTGGGAGCAGTTCATGAGAAGCATGAGCTTTTACTTACCTTTTCTTCCTTTACTACTTTTTGCCTGCAGCACCTTTTTAACACCACCTATTCTTAGGGAATGCTAAGTTGCAAGCCCTCTAAATTATACAATAAGTATTATGCTGACTACAGCTGTACAAAACCTGTTAGTGCATGTTTTATGGAATCTAGGAACATTAAGGGTAAGGCAGTTTCAAATTTGAGCAGAGGTGGACTCTCACTTGTAATTCTTCTACAAGAATTAACAGATCATTATGTTGGTTTTGTCTGACCTTAAACATGCAGCAGCTTCCTCGTGTTCTGTCACACTGTCCAGAAATAAGAGGACTGATCCAACCACAGCCTCTCAGAAGTTGTGAGCAAAGCAAGCAAATTAAAGCAGACAGCAGTCCTACTCGTACAAAAAAAAAAATCTGGAAATTTGGGGCTATTCTGACATTGACATTATATTAAAATCCAGGATTGCTTGTTGCCTGTTTTTTTTTTGAAACCTGAAGGTTAGTTCAGTACAGTACTATTAGTTCTCAACTTGCCACACCTCAAAGATAAGAGAGAAATTTAAAGAAAAAAAAAAAAGTTTAAAGGTTTCTGCCCTGTGTGGAACCATTGAAAACATATTCCAAGTACTTCTCTGAAACATTATACACTAAATCATGTTTGTTTTATTTTAAAGAGGACAACTGTGGGAAGGATGGGAGGGCTAACTGCTTCAACTGCTGGACCTCAGCAAGGATATGAACTGGCCAGAACTTGAATTCGTGTACAGACTAAGCAAAAATGTGTATGATTTCAGAAGAATTTTAATGTTAGCCTGGAGGACTGGATGAACTTGGAGGCCAAAACAGTGTTTGCACTGGTGAGCGAATTAAATAGATGAAGTGAAATTACAGGAACCTGCTGCCAGGAATACAGGTCTCTTTCAGATCCACTCTTGTACCTGCTTTTTGCTTTGGATTATACCTCACCTGCTGCACAAGGCTTTTTACTTCAAGAAGACGCCACTAACTCTGTTCCAGGAATTGACAGAAGAGGAAATACAGCTGCATCCCAAAGAGGATTGCCATCCCAGTGGGCAAAGTGTCCTCAAAGACAGTGGTAGTAAACTGTGTTTCAGTGCAACTATGGCTTTGGATGTAAGGAGACAAATTTCAATGCCAAGTATGTCATGGACACTTCTGCTTCCAACAGGGGTAAAGTTAACAGTGGAAAAAAAACCACGTAAGAGATTCAGGAATTCAAGTGAGCACCACTGAGTATTCTCAATACCGTCATCTCTCAAATTTCCTCCTCTGAGGATATGTTTTAGTTCCATGTCTACTTGTCCATCCTATTGACACCTCTAGGAAAATTAGAGAAAATCTTGACTGACAGGATGTCATATTTTTGGAGGGGTTATGTAAATATCCATCAGCATACTGTTTAAAAATAATTTCCTTCAGGTTGTGAAGAATTTTGTTAATAAAAGTGTGGAATGCCCACATACCATTTCTCAAAACGTTACTTAATGTTGCATAGCACATTTCAGCATTCATCCGGTTTTAGAAGTACAGAAGTTTCAGTAAATGTACATCCTACATTTTAATGAAATCAAATTTGTATCAGGTTTTTTTGTGGCTAGTACTATATTGTGTGTTCAAGACCAAAACAATTTGTTTGAGAAAGGACCATTTGCTTAGTAGTGCAATTTTTAGACTTATTTTTTAAAATAGGCTTCTCTGAGAAGTTCAAAATCACGACCAATAACTTATGACCTAGTTATAGTTCAGTCTACAGTAGATGTTCTCAATGAAAGTTATTGCTTAAAAGCTTATAAAAGAAAAAAATCCAACATTTTACTAAGGAAGCACAGTGTACAGAGTCTATTTGAGTATCTTAGTAATGATGCTATTAAATACACTGTAGTACAGGCAGCACTAGCAGTGCTACTTCTATCATTTTTTCCACATTAGTCTGCTAACTAACTGCTCTAGAGGCACATGCAATGGCAAGCTCATGGTAACAACCAACTGTGGCCTTGACCCTTAACAAAGAGAGGTATATTTCTGCAAAACACAAACTTGCACTTCTGGCAACAGTGTGAAGATACATCAAAGAAATGACTTTTGATACTCTGCATAGTAGGTCATTCAAGAGGAATTCCCTTATTTCACAGGGGATGCAGATCTGGCACCACACCCCTGCTCTTGAAAATATGCTTGAACCAACATGGGCCTATGTAGTAAAACTTGCTTGTATGTACTATACAGTAAAAATAGGTTTGATCTTGTATGTGCATCACACATGAATGAGTCAAATACATTTCCAAATTTTTCTTGCAAAATATGACTGTCTGTCTTAATCTGGCATAATTGTGTCTGTAACATGCTAGAGATTTTATGGATGATAAGGAAAAAAAGTCTGGTATGTGATGAGAGCCTGGATCAATACAAGCAAGTAAAAAATAATGACTTTAAACTTACCAATAGAAAAACATTTTTGCTGCTTTCAAGGGAAAAGCATTAGCTGGCTCCCCTTACCTGTCTGTATGCATAAAGAATACTAAAAGTTAGATGAAAAAAATTTCCCCTTACCTTTCTTTGCATTCAGCCTGTAATATTTGACAAGAGGATGAGACTGTCAGAATCCTGCACGGCCAGAATTACTGCTCGGGGTGCACAGCAGTCAGAAGCTTGAAGTCACCGTGTCCCTTTATGCACATGCTAAAATGATTTGAGCAGTGGAACATCTGCTGTAAGAAGTACCTGTTGTTTCTGAAAGGTAGGTTGTTGAAAGGCTCAGGAAAGCTACTGCTTCTCCTCTCAGCTCTGCTGGTGCTGTTTAAGTTGAAAAGGACAAATTCTAGTCGGTTTCATGCAGCTTTGCTAAACTGGCCTCACAGGCAGAGGGGCTGTCAATACTCCCTCAGCTTTTACAGATAGCTGGGAAAAAAAATACGTATATATTTGCTAGTCCATAGCTTTCCTCAGTAACAGCTGCAGCTATTTCTCAATAGTAGCAGATTTTCTATGACCTTACCAGGATACAACTGTCAGCCTCAAAGTACTAGAAAGCTAATACACTTTGTCACCAACTTCTGATTTTAAATAGAAACCTTTATTTACATTATTATTAACATCCAAACACAAAAATCAGAAGAAGAGCAGTAATACCTTACAACCAACTCTTTTATAACTCAGTCCCCAAGGTTTTCTGTTCTGCAACATAGATACAGATATTTCAAGCAATACTTAACGTAAACTAAACTTAAATGCAATTCTCAATACTGTATGCCTTCTCCTGAGAATTTTAAAAATATTGCTCTCAACATAACATGGTTTTATACTTGCTGTATCATTCAATCACCTCGTAGTCTGCACATAAGTTCAAAAATAAAATCTGTGCTAATTGGTACAACATTCAAATAGTTCTGTTTTATAACTGAAAAGTGGTCCTGATTTCCTAAATTTAAAAGCAGAATTTTAAACCTAGATTGGATAAAGGTACTACATGTGAATTTTATAACACGTAGTTTCTGCGATCAAAAGAACAAGAAAAACAAGCAGCAAAACTGTGCTCAGTGCGCAGCAGTGATCAGAGGTGGCTGTACCAGCTAACTGCCCTCCTACAGGTGAGCAATGTTACATGGTTCTTTTTGTTACATAAAACAAACTAGAAAAATCTGCTGCCGCAGAACCAAATCAGAACTGGTGGAGACATAAATGCTGACTTGTTTCAAGGTAAGTTTCATTTGCTGCAGCTGCTAAGCTTTTTGAAGTAGATGTAGGATTTAGGATCAGTGTTGCCAAGAAAGATGTTATCAATTCATTATAAAAAATGCTTCCTCCCCCCCCCCCAATCAAGTTTAAACTAAAAATCTTTGGATTCAGCAAACAAGTAGGTACTGTATGAGAAAGCTCCAACATTCAACATACAGATGAGAAATGATGATCCTTTATAACACTGGCCAAGTTCCAGTTACACACAGATGTATAAACAGAATCGCTCATAAAAAAACAAAACAGGGCACAATGTATAAAGTAGGACACAGTCTAAGAGCTCACCTAATGAAAGCAACCAGGGTTTGTAGTTTCCATCAATATAATGAATAACTACAAAATACAAGGACTGTTCCACTCCCATTTGATACAAAAAGCAAATGCCTGTTGCCTTTGGACTTCAGCAGGCAGCACTCACTCAACAAATAGATACGTCCTAAGAAATAAGATGATAAAAGTTCCTCAGCCTTTTAAGAGTTCTGCATTTAAAAAAACCACACATGAATTGGACTGAAGGTTTCAAATAACTTCCCCCAAAACTATATATTCAGGTCCAATTGCAAAGACAGGGTTGCATAAAAATAGATGGAATCTACATTTTCTTTGGAACACAACTGGCTGTATGCTAAGGAGGAACATTCTAAAGTTTTTTTCTAGGTAAGTTATTCTGTTAAAATGGAAGATCACTGCCTATTCTTAAAAATAAAACCACCTCACACTTACAGTACCAAGAAGCAATTGAAAATGTGTTGTTGTTTTGTTTTGTTTTTTTCCTTGGGAAGTTAATTTTCCATTCTACAATGAACAACAGTGCAAAAGCACCATGTATCTTAAACATTTCTGGGTCGTCCCTTATGGAAATGTACAGGTTTGATTCACTGTAACTGCCTGAGACCAGAGAAACTGCAACAGGATCTTCATCTCAAGGAACCAAAACAGGAGGGGAAAAAAAACAACGGTCAGCAAATAATACAAACAAATTTGTAACCAAACTTAAATACTAATGCAAGAGAAGCCTGCTCAGAAAAATACATTCAGCACTATTAGAACAATCCAATGAGGTGCAGACATTTGGTTAAAGTGTGGCTTAATATCCTGAAAGATTTATGGATGTCCCATAACAAATATTTTGCAACAGGGAGGCTTCTTTTGAAGAACGTGTAGAGCTCATTAAAATTGCCCAAAAAGACACAATCTGCAGCCATCAGCTGAAAAGGCAAGGTAACACAGCAAGACGTGACCGTCATGACATCTCAGAGCGCAGAGCCTTTTTGTCCCACTGCCAAATGTAAAAATAAACGTAACAAAGTGCTCACAGGTGGAGAAAGCATTGAACAACTGGTCTTTTATAAAAAGCTACATGTTAAGGATGTAAAAATAAATGAAGTGTTGAAGACCAAAGATGGGAAAGGTGTGGGCCAAGGTCACCCAGCTTCAAAGTCATTAATTAAAAAAAAGTATTCTATTTGGACCTCAACTACGCTGAGTTTACAGAAATCAATTTAGTTAAATATTTAGCTTCACAAACTCTGCAAAAATGAGTTAGTGACCTACAAAAGTCATATATATAATACATTATCTTAAAGAACATATTTACAAAATTTATTCACAAAGAGAAAGACTGCAAAATTCTGATTCAGACTGCAGTGCCTTGCCTTGAGTTTTCTGGAGTTATTTTCAAAATGATGAAAGATTATTGCTCTGATTTCCACACACAGAAAACACACTATGCAGTCTTTTCAAATAATTTTTAAGAGATTGTGTTTGAGAAGGAACATGAGTACACCCTACCTTCATATTAAGTCCTTATTAAAGATATTGCATTAATCCATTATATAGTCTTCTATAAAGTGCACTCAGCTCCACATCAATATGTAAATATTAGTCACAGTTGCATTTAAATAACTTAAATTTATCATCCTCTCGTTTTACCCCTTGGCATCAATGGACAGGATTTTGGAATAATATGTGCCAATTCATTTTGCACTGATAACTTTGCCTGGGAAATCCTGACTCTTGGGGGGTAGGGGATTAAAAGCAGCATTTATATTAAGGAATTCATATAAAAGAGTCAAGGCTAGGAACTACATTCTCTGTCAGATATTCTTATGAGAGAAATCAGAAAATTCTTATCACTGTGATTTCTCCCGGCACTTTTGTCTGCCTGTAGATGAAGGGCTTTGGATAGCTACAGTAAATAGACAAGGTATTTCAGGGCTGGCTCTACCCATCATACTCACTTAAACGCCATTGCCAAATTCACATTTCTAGAGGCAGAGCGCCAAAAATATTTATGGCCTTTTTTGTACAACACAATATACAGTAATACAGACTGCTTCTACTAAAAAAGTCTGTTTCTTCGTCAATGAAATAACTTAGGACATCGTGGTGATTAGCAGGAAAAATCACTTCCATAAGGCCAGGACCGTTGCCATGAAGAATGCGGAACTCTCCCCTGTAACACCAGTGCATCTCTGTAATGCTCCGCGCATTCTTGGCTGGAGATCCAGGTGCAGGTGTCAGCAGTATTTCTGTTGAAGAAAGGAAAAGAGCTTCATCAGAGAAAATTAAAACAACTTTTGCTGGAAAAGCTGGCTAATGTGTTGCATTTTGAAAAGTACTGATAGTCAATTTTTAAGCAGAACAGTGTTATAGTTTTCCATTTTTTAAATAAATGTGTAGAAAAGAAATGCTGTCCCAGAACTCCCTACACACATTCTTTGCTTATCTTCACTGATATGACTGCTGTGATGTGGCTGTGGAAAATCCGACACTGCTCAGTCCTTTTCCCCTCTTTATAAGGGTAAGGCCTCTCATCCCTTATTTGTCTTGCAGAAGTCCTCAGGTTACGTCAGCCACTTCCCCAGGTACCTCATCACAAAATTTCACAAGGTCCTGGTGTAGCTTATCTCAATATTATATTGCCCATTCCTTGGTATTTTGTGGAAGAATTACAGCAGAAGTTTTTTTTGTACTTTACCCTTCTTTGCAATATAAGCTCACTTTTCCGTTAAATATGTGGCCTAAACTTTCCAGTGTCTTGCTGTGCACACATAAAGTATTCTCAGGTAGTGTAAGAGTGAGCATCATCACAAGCAGCTTCTAGAAAATACTGTACTACCAGGGAGGGTTCTTAGTCCAACTCATCTTCCTCAAGTTGCCTTTCACAATCCCTGTGTTCTGCTTTCTGGGTTTCTCCAGGCTCCCTTTGTTGCAGTCCTTTGTGCAGTTTAAACTTTGATCCTATCTGTGATACTTCAAAGATAACAACTTAGCACTGCTGCTTAGGTTTATCATGGATTTCATTACAATATCACAAGAAATAACATATTCCTTGGGACACACAACTTGCAAGTCCACAGACATAAAGGCAAACAGAACAGAATTGTGCCAGAGGAATGACTTCAGTATATCATTCTCAATTGGAAAAGAGTCAGCGGTTCATCACTCCTCCTTATGTACGACTTACCTGGTCCGGACCCATAGGCATCCCTGACATAGGCACAGTGCTGATGTTCATCTGCCCAATGTGGCCACTGCTGCCATTCATGTGCATCATACTGTA